GAACTGCGGCGCTCGGTGGGGTGCGGCGCTCGGTGGTGAAACACGTTATATATATATATATATATTCAATATTTCTTGATGCATTGTTTTTTTTTTAAATTCTTCGATAAGGGTACACTCATGGGACAAGTAAGTAGTCGTACAATCCCCTTTTCACGGCCTCAGCTCAACTCCCTTAACCCCCTTCATCCCCTCCTTAAACCCATCTCTCCCCAAAATCTCCTTGACCTTCTCCAACACCGCGCCCTCCCGTCTCCTACTCACATCATCCTCCTTGACCTTCTCGCCCGCCACCAACGCACTCTCCAGTCCCTCATACTCCCAAATATTCGCCTTCATGCCCACCCCGTGATACTGGTGTTTCTGCAAAAACGCCAACCAAGCCTTGACCACATCCGGGTGTCCATCCTGAATCTGAATCAAGCGGCGCATCGTCACCCTCTCAAAGTTCTCTTGACTCTTCTTGAAGATGAAATTCGATCGCGGGACTACCCAGCGCTCTGTTATGCGTGGTAGCGGGATGGGACCGCGCGCGCAGAGACCCATATAGTATGCAGCGCGCACGGCGAAGTCGGAGAAGAGGAGCAGGTTGCGGATGTTGTAGGTGCGGAGTTGGAGGTCGCAGGTGGGCACACCGTATTCGGGTGTGCGGCGAAGGGGCCTGAGGTGGACGGCGCGGACGTTGAGGGGGGTGCGGAGGGCGTCGAGGGCTTCTTGGGTTTTGGGGTCTAGTGGGGGTTGGTCGGTGGGGAAGGTGATGTCTTTTTCTCTGTTGGAACCAGAGGGTTAGTCTGTTTTTTCTATATAATCCGGGGGTGAAGGAGGGTATGACAAAAACGTACTTTGCGAGTTTAATGGGTTCAACGCCGGCGCGCTTGTAGACTTTTAAGAGGCCAAGGTGGTCGGGTGTGTTTTGTAGTTCTTTCCACTGTCGCTGAGCTTCCTCGCGCGTCTTGGGTTCCCGTTGTTGCTGGCGCTTGTTGACTTTTTGCTGGCTGGCATATAGACTGGAGTCTTTGTTAGAACCCTCGTCCTCCTCAAATATCTCGTTATGGCAAGCCAACATACGTCTTGAATTCCTGAACATCGATACCCATATCCTCCAGCCGAGCATCAAGCGGCATATCGCCGCTCTCCAGGTCCATCTTCAGCTTCTCAATGAGCCTGACATCTCTGTCCTCTCTTGAGTCCCGCTCATTGTCCTCGTCCGCTTTCGAGCTCTTGTTCCGCGAAAAGGTCTGGACGGATGGCCGTGGGGCGTGTGAAATCTATTTTCCATTGCAAGTCAGCGGGCCAATTCGTCGCAGACAGCGCTTAACAATTCAATCAATTCATACCTTGACCCTCTTTGCTGGCCCCAGAAAAGAGCGCATACATCGTGGCGCGGCCATGGTCGCTGTCGTCGCAACTTAACCCACGTCCAGCCGTCCAACTTCTTCCTCCGACAATGGCGCTAGCTGCGATTCCGCTTATGGTCTTGGCAGTCGTCGGAATTGCCCGCCGCCTTCCTTGTGCACCCTAGTCATCGCCTCTGATAATGTCACATGTACTCCCTAGACTATTTTCCCTAGTCACAGTTGATCCATTTATCTTTTGTGTTCTAGAGACTTGCTCTCCTTGACTTCACTTTTTTTGCGACTGCTTAAGATGGAGTCCACTCAAGATGCCGCTGCTGCGCCAAACGCCTATGTCCGCGCGACAGAGACGGCCAAATACGTTCGCTCTCAACTACCCGAGACGCTCCAAAATCCAAAGGTAGCCATCGTGTGCGGTTCGGGCCTAGGTGGACTTGCCGACACCATCGAGCCAGAGCCCAAGGTCGAGTTGGCATACGGCACAATTCCACACTTTCCTAAGAGCACAGGTATGCACAAGGCGCGACCCTCAAACTTCATCATGCGGGGTGCTGACAAGTACATAGTTCAGGGCCATGCGGGCAAGTTTGTCTTTGGTCACATTGGGCCTCAGAAAACACCAGTCGCACTTTTGGTTGGACGCGCACAGTAGGTCACTACAGGGGAAGAAGAGCATTTGAACAAGTTTGATATTGACATTGGTAGTTTCTATGAAGGACACTCCATGGACTTGGTCACATTCGCTACCCGCGTGTGCAAGATGCTTGGTGTCGAAACCATGATTGGTATGGAACGTGCGAGGCGAGAGCTAGAGTCATGGGCTAATGACGGCATGTAGTCACAAACGCAGCTGGTGGTCTCAACCAGACTTACCGCGTGGGAGACATTGTGTGTCTAAACGACGTACGTAAGTCGTTGTAAAGCTCAAGACTCACCCTAACACTATGCAGCATCTCAACATGGCTGGGCTTGTTGGATTCCATCCGCTGCGTGGCCCCAACATTGATGAGTTTGGTGTACGATTTCCACCACTATCAGACGCCTACGACCTCGATTTGAGGAGAAGAACGCACAAAGCTTGGGTCAAGCTAGGCCTTGACCAGCAACAGAGACGTCTACACGAAGGCGTATATGCATTCGTTGCAGGACCAACGTATGTTCTCAAAATATTCTTACTTGACATGTCGGCGGCGGACATGAGCTAATCCATCCAGTTACGAGACCCGCGCAGAGTGCCGGATGCTGAGCATGCTAGGGGCTGATGTCGTTGGCATGTCGACTGTGCCAGAGATCATCGTCGCCAGACATGCAGGAATGCGTATTCTGGCGTTCAGTCTAGTCACAAATGTCGCTGTCCTTGAAGCAGGCTCTTGTGGAAATGATGCCACAATTCAGAACATGAACAGGGCGCAGCTGACCGAACACCTGAGCCAAGGCAAGGCAAACCACGAAGAGGTGTTGGAGGCTGGACGGGAGGCGGCCAAGGACATGCAGGCTTTGGTCAAGCAGATCCTTTCCGACCTAGACGAGGAATAGAAGCGCGTCTTAGTCAAAGTTCCGTGGGACAAGCGAGACAGATCTGAGCTAGAAAATATCAAGCCAGACAACGCTGGTCTCGAACACCCAAAAACACAACCATGTTGACAATTACCACGTGAAGTTTCATACACGTGCTCAAGGCTTGACAATCTTGCCCTTGTTGCGCTTTGCTTTGAGGGCCTTGTAGTGGGCCTTCTTTCCGCTCGACTTGGTCGCCTGGATGTCTTGGTACTTTCGGTTGAAGCGGCCACTGTCTTGCTCCTGGGCAATGACTTCCTCGAGCATGGTCTGCCTGCGGTCCTTGTTCTTGAGACGGCTGCTGTAGAACTCGGTGGCGCCTTCAATAATGGTGCCGACTTGGGAGAACGCAGGAACATCGCCCTTGGAGTTGTCCTTTTTGTAGTGGCGCTTGGGATCGAGGACGCTGCGCATCTTGAGGAGCTGCAAGTCTCGGCGTAGCTCTGGGGTCAGGTCGGTCTTGGGCATGTTGAACCATTGTGAGCCAGCAGTTGCTTTCTTCTCCTAAACAAGCCATTAGTATTTTGTGACTGACAAGCTTGAATGCAAAAAGCGTGTAGTGAATAGATGCCTCAGTGTAACTATGAACTAATGGTGCCTCAGTAGCGCAGGAAGGCAACCAAGACGGCGCCCGAATCTGCTCAGCAAAAACATTTGGGATAGATATCATCAAAGGCGTGGGGATGCGACTGGGGTTTGGCATACCTCTTGCTTCTGCTTCTTGATTTGCAGCGGGTCCTCAATCTTCTTGATGCCGTTAGCCAAGGCCTTTTGGTTCTTGTCGACAAGCTTTGAGTGATCTAGACGAGTAATGTTGCCGTGAGTCTTTTCGTAAGTATCGGCGATATGGCCAGGCGTCAGTTTGGGAAGCTTGAATGGGGCTTCGGCCCTAGCTGCAGGCTGCGCAGCCTTTGCACGCATGCGCTCGGCAGCCTCGTTGAGCAGCTCTCGAATCTGCTCATCGGAGAGATCCTCGTCCGAGTCGTCGACAAGCGGCTGGTGCGTTGGCAGCTCCATGCTGGCGGTGACGGGGAGAGGATGGAAAATTTGGAGAACAACTTTTTGAAAAGGTCAGGCGCACGGACCATGTCGGCAAAGCTAAGCTGCTTGCGTCAGATGCCTTGCATGGCCGCCGACGAACCATCCATGTGCTACTACTATGTATGGATGCAAGTACATAGTACGAGGCTGGTCGGGCATTTTGTGATACGAGAGGCCATCAATGGCAATGACCTGCATTGGGCGTCCTGGTGCATGGGAACGTCTGCCCCTGCTGCTCGCGTCCGCCACGTCAAGTTACGCACAAGACCGCAACCGTCGAGATCCTGGTGTGCGGTCAGCGTGGGCATATTGGCTCATGACGCGTGCGTGCATATCATGGCGCATTGAAGAGAACTGAGGACGAACAACTCATCGCTGGCATGGCCCGTTGCTCAGAGGGCCAATCAGGACACCAGGCCTCGGTCACGATGCGGCCGAGCATTGCGCCTTGAAGAGGCACAAATGTGATGGAGGCGGCAGACACACGGCGTCGCTCCTGTGCTGTCACTGCTCTAGGCATTGCGGACGGGCGCAGTGCGACATGGATAGCACGCATACATGGGTATATTAAGCGTGGTCGAGTGACAATGAGGCGAGCATCTGGCTGTGGGCGAGACGACGCTGCAGCGCGCTCGCTACGTGACAGACTCGCGCCTCGACGGCCTTCTTGGACTACGGTTAAGAGCAATCAAGTAAATCAATTACTGCTGCACCCACTCGTCGCCCTCTCCAACACTGGTCTTTGAGAAGCTGGGTAACGTCGGGGCCCTTGCTTAGCTGTGGTTCGTCGACCCGTTGGAAACCCACCAACCAACCAACCATCAACTCCGCGAAGATATACTCGGGCTGGAATTTGATTCGCCAGGCCCAAGCACAGGTCAGTCGCGTTTCTTGTTCAACGTCGAGAGTCGAGATGAGTTTGTGCAATAGAAGGAAGCTCATACACGATGCCAGGCCGCCCGCAGCATCGCCTCTCGCCCCAAAAAACAGGCATTCGCGTCTTCCCCGCGCCATCTCTCTGCACCTTTCCCGGCCACTCAGACCGTACCTTTGACGCAACCACACCCGCGCCCTCCTTCCACAACGCGCCCATACCAATCTCTTGACGACTCATTGGGCACTGCGCATACCTCTCCTGCACAGAGCCGCTCTCCTTGCCCAATTTCCCTGCGCCATCCGGTCTCCAGATACACCTGACAGACGCGCACCCAGCCCACCGTGTCGCACTTGCGCAACCCAGCCCACGCCATGGATCAAGTCAACCTCCAGGGCCACGGCCAGCAGAAGATGCGCCCAGCCACTGCTGCGCCCCGCAAGTACGACGGCCAGCAAGGCAATCCGCTCTACGACCCTGCCAATGGCGGTCACTATGGTACGTCGATGCAGCTCCAGCCGGCGCATCCCCCGTTGACCGCTTGTGCTAACACCATCCTCCAGGCGCATCCGCAGCTGTACGTCTTGTTGTGCCTTCATTGCTCCCCCGAGCTTCCCATCGCTGATATTTGGTCCAGATTGCCGCGCAAAACCAAGCTCCAGATCCACAGCTCTTCACCGGTTCCTGGCAGAATGTACGCACCCAACGCCCAAACGCCTACGGCGCCCAGAGTCTCAGTAGCTGACACTTGCAGGTGAACCAAGGCCTCACGGGAAACTACCGCGACATTCTCAACACGTACTGGCAGCAACAAGTAACGAAGCTCGAGACGGACGAACATGACTACAAGCTGCACCAGCTCCCGCTTGCTCGCATTAAGAAGGTTATGAAAGCGGATCCCGAGGTCAAGATGATCTCTGCCGAAGCGCCCATCCTATTCGCCAAGGGATGCGACATCTTCATCACGGAGCTCACAATGCGTGCGTGGATCCACGCCGAAGAGAACAAGCGTCGCACTCTGCAGCGCTCCGACATTGCCTCCGCATTATCCAAGTCGGACATGTTTGACTTTCTTATCGATATCGTCCCTCGTGAAGAGGCGCATCCACACAAGAGAAGCGCGGGCCAAAACGCGGCCGTGCAATCGTCGGCTGCAGTGGTTCCCCCCGGCGGCATGCCTCAGCCTGTGCACGCCCAGCACCCAATGGCTCCTCCCGACTACGGCATGAACCAGCACCTTGCCCAGCAAGAGGACTACCGACAGTCATCCATGTACCCAGGACCTGTGCAGGGCGACCCGAGCGTGTATGCGCAGCAGGGCATGTTTGATCCCAATGCGTATGGCCCATACGGCGCCATGGGGCAGCAGCCTCAGATGTACGCGGTTGGTCAGCGCGGGCCAGATCCCAATGCCGGCGACCCACAGGGCTTTGGCCGGTATGGCGAGGCTGACGCTGATGATGATGCTCAGGGCGAGCGCGTGGACGCAGACAACTAGTTGTTGACCCAGCCTCTGACTCTCGGTGATTAGTTGTCGCGATGCCGACACGACAGAGAGAGGTGTTGTGCGCTATTGTTAGCAGATTGATCTTGGATATGGCGTTTAGGTACGGTGTTTGGGCACACGGCCGCGGAATGGCTAGGTATCATGAAAGGCGTCATAACACAATATCACTTAATGGAAAGTCAATTAGCTTGTCGCAAACAAGTGATGCTTCTCCCGTAACAGCTTAGGCAGCGAGGCTTGTTTGCCATGACGTTAGCAGCGAGGCCCCGGTCTATTCCGGTACCTGTAGCGCGCTGGACAGGACCGAGGTCCTTGTTGGTTGAAAGACTTAACGATGCGCGGGTCTATGTCTTTGTACCTGCATTTTCTAGCGGGCTCCGTCCTATTCCGAACATCTGTGGCACCGAGGCACATCACATGCGTGACTTGTGGCTGGGAAGCAGTAAGGGAGGCATTGTGTATACAGCTTGGAGGTGGATGTTCAAGTGGTGTGTTCTGCACGACTGATGTACGCCTGAGAGAGTTCTGAACCCAGACTGCATACCCGCCTGGCGAAACCAGGGCTGTCGCGGACTTGATGCGATCTGCCCTAGAAAGCACTAGGCGTGACGGCCTTTCGGTGAGGCGCGTCCCATGCTCCGCCCGGTACCCCGCCGCTAATGGCCCGTGCTCCACCCCCACCTGCGCGAGACCAACAGAACCAGTGCATAGTCCAGCGCTCACCCTACATCAAGCCACCATTCTGCCTCTTCTTCTCTTCTCTTCTCTCACCGACTCTTCAATTGCTTTCATCAAACTTGCCCCTCCACAAAACACCCCTCTCCCTTCATCAAATCACATCAAAAATGGTCAAGGCCGTAGTAGCTGGAGCTTCCGGAGGCATCGGACAGGTACGAGCCCGCGAGCACCCAAAGGGTCCATAGACCCCCGTTGCAGCACCTGCTAACCAATGTGAAATAGCCCCTCTCTCTACTCCTCAAGAACAACCAGCACGTCACTGAGCTCGCCCTCTACGATGTTGTAAACACTCCAGGTGTTGCTGCTGACCTGTCTCACATCTCAACCCCCGCGGTATGAGGTGCTCGCCCCGCATTCACATAAACACACTAAAGTTGTTTAGGTTGTAAAAGGCTACCTGCCCAAGGACGATGGTCTGAAGGGCGCCCTTACCGGTGCTGACATCGTTGTCATTCCCGCCGGTATTCCTCGTAAGTTGGATATATTCTACGGCTCGGCGAGCAAACACTGACAAAGACTCAGGCAAGCCTGGTATGACGCGCGATGATCTGTTCAAGATCAACGCCGGCATCGTCAAGGGTCTCGTCGAGGGTATTGCCCAATTCTGCCCCAAGGCTTTCGTCCTCATCATCTCCAACCCCGTAAACTCCACAGTCCCCATCGCCGCCGAGGTCCTCAAGAAGGCCGGCGTCTTCGACCCCAAGAAGCTCTTCGGTGTCACCACCCTAGACGTTGTCCGTGCCGAGACATTCGTTGCCGAGATTATCGGCGAGAAGAACCCCGGAAACCTCAACATTCCCGTCATTGGTGGCCACTCTGGCGAGACCATTGTCCCGCTCTTCAGCCAGGCTAAGCCAAGCGTGAACATTCCAGCAGACAAGATGGAAGCCCTTGTCAAGCGTGTCCAATTCGGTGGTGATGAGGTCGTCCAGGCAAAGGATGGTGCTGGTTCAGCCACCCTTTCCATGGCCTACGCCGGATACCGGTAAGTCTTTTGTGGCTCTACTTTGAGATGACACAGCCTGACCACAGACAGATTCGCCGAAAAGGTCATCAAGGCCGCCAAGGGCGAGAAGGGCATTGTCGAGCCCAGCTATGTCTACCTCCCCGGTGTCGAGGGTGGCGACGCGATTGCGAAGGCTACTGGAACCGAGTTCTTCTCTGTACCAATCGAGCTTGGTGTAAGTAATCCAAGATGATCTTGACATGTTTCGTATCCTGTAGCTTTACTAATCTTTTGCAATAGCCCAGTGGTGCCGAGAAGGCCATCGACGTCGTCAGCAGTGCGAACGACCAAGAGAAGACTCTCCTCAAGGCCTGCTACGAGGGCCTGGGTGGCAACATCACCAAGGGTGTTGAGTTTGTCAAGACTGCTAGTGAGTAAACTACGTTGCATTATTGATGGATCTTGAGACTGATGGAATCGTGCAGAGTAACTATAGACCTCCGCGATGGATGATGCGAGACGAATCCAGATGAAGACATGTCTTGGAATGCCCAATGATCATATGCCACTGTGAGCAGAAGAATGAATAAATTTATGAACACCAAAAGACCCCTTGCATGATTCTGAGACGCATCAATGCTTTTGTGATGAACATGTTCTGATCAGAATAGGGTATGTCCCGCACGTTATGCCCAAGAAGAACCCTCGCTATTCGACATGCCATGCGGGCTCGCAGTCCTTGTTGAAATGTGTCTGTAGTCACTGAGTATACCTATGGTCGACCGATCACCTATTACAGAGCCGTAAATGGATGTCCACAGAGAACCAGTACCATAGGCGAAGAATGAAAAACGAAAAGAAAGGGTGCCTGAAATTATCGTTGAAATTTCCAATGAGAACTGTTTTGGGTATATTTGGAGAATGAATTACCTATCCGAGCCCGCATAAAATGATGACTGGCTAGGCGACATCAAGGCTAACCATGGTTTGGGATATTGACATTTTCCACTGACATACGTATATAGTCGCGCACCTATCTGCCCTTTTCGTCCATCATTCATCAAACACAACTATCGACTATACCAACAAGCACGAGCACATTCAAAATGCGTTGGTCTTTCCTGGACCTTCCCCCGGAGCTGAGGCTCATGATCTATAAGCACTTATCCATCACCACAAAGCACCTAGTCCTGGAACGCTCACTCAACAAGTACGGTGGTGCGTCGACCATTCGGCTAGTCGTAAAATTTGCACCCGTCGAGATCTTGAGGACCTGTCGGTTGATCTACCAAGAAGCCTATGCCTGTATCAACAGGCTTGTGGAAAGATGCCAACGCCTGCAAGTCATTGTCGACTTGTCCATGATGAGAACCTTTTGTGGGATAGTCTGCAGCACAGAGACTGATGACGTGGGAAAGATTTTCATAATGATTATGCAAGAGTCTTGTTCACCTACGGGTCTACCTGCAGAGCAAGGCCAGCACCAAAACCGTTTTAGTTTGCCACCATAAGATCGTGTGGTATCGGCGGAATACGCAATTAAACTCCGAAACTTTATGGAGCGGAGCATCAAGTATGTAAACCACATGCTCAATAGGTGCATACTAGAGATTGCCGTCACGATACCAGAACATGTCAGAATAATGGGAGGACAAACAATATATCCACTGATGGGTTTGCCATGGAGAGCAGCGCATCGGAGGCAAGAATTTCGCTTATATGCTAGGGTGGAAGGGGAATTGGATGCCACGATGGAGATCGAGTACGGCATGCTGATAAGAGAATGGAGTTGTTTTCTGCGTTATGATGGCCAAGAAGATGCGAAGGCGCTCGGTGATGTAGAATGGCAAGCGGACTGGGAAGGAATTGAGGTTCGGGAGAATTACGTAGACGCAGAAGCGGTGTTGCATGTGATGATAGAGGAGGCTCGCAGGCAACCATCACGTCACCATGTGTCGAGCTTCCTAAGGTTGGAAAACGAAGTGAGGTCTCTAGGACTCTAGTCAGGAAACAGGATAGAAGTCCCTGTATTTTATGTTCTAGATTTAATTCTAGCATTGTATGGATGGATTTACATAAGTGGTGTTGGGATATTAGCAAGACGTGCCGAGCCATGACACTAGGGACTAGCAGGACCCTTGCCGGATGATCGACGGTAGTAGTTCTGAATAGCCCACATGGAGCTCCAACGCCGACGGACCGCATTGCGCTTTGTGACTGCGATTCCCCGCCTACAGCCCGATAATTCCCCAGCACTGATCCTCCGTGACGAATAGTACGACACAAAACAACTCGATATCCAGGGCCGTCTCAATTCCATCTGCAGAGCCCCTACACCAACATTATCCAACAACGCGCGCAGCCCTCAGCACGGTACACTCGAGTCGACACATTAAATACCCGCCCAACAGGCAAACAAGCCCATATACACGCAAAAAGAACACCTTTCAAACATGGCGCAAGCCAACGCCTCCGTCCCCAGCGAAACCTCACCCCCTTACGTCGACCCCACCTTCTCGGTAGTAAACACATCATGCCTGGACCTCCTCCTCATCGAACTGGTCCCCATGGCCTACCGCATAACCGCCGACCTGGCCGCTCGAGAAGAAGAATGGATTCACGGTGCCGCCAGCGCAGCCTCACCTAGCGCGCGAGCCAAGCAGTTGGCTGGCTCTCCCGGCAACGACGCCGCGAGCACCGTAGCCGCGCGGACAGAAGGCGGAGGCCACGTTGGTGTCGCGGGGACCGTGGACGAGGAGGAGAGTAGAGAAGCCGTGTTTCACCGGTTAGAAGCACTGGGGTACAGAGTTGGTCTTGGGGTTGTGGAACGGTATTTAACATCCTTTTCCTCCTCCCCCCCCCATTTATCCACCCTTCCTTCTGCCCCTCTTCCACCCAATTTCCCTACTCGACCGATTGAACAAATGTAAATCACTAACGAAACACGCAGTTTCTCCCGCGACGCCCCCCGCCCTACCACCCCCCTCGATTGCATCAAATTCCTCTGCAAAGACCTCTGGACCCTCCTCTTCCGCAAGCAAATCGACAACCTCAAAACTAACCACCGCGGCATCTACGTCCTCACCGATAACACCTTCAAGCCCCTCGGCCGCATGTCCTTTGACACAAAGAAATACGACGCCAGCATGCAAGCTGCCCTCGTCGCGCAGACGGGCGACCCCGCGTTGGGGCGCGAGGCAAATTCACAGGCTAGGGTCCAGCCGTTTCTTTATTTCCCCGCGGGCTTAATTAGGGGGTGTCTTGCTGCGCTGGGGATTCAGGCTAGTGTTACGGCGGAGAGTGTGGCGTTGCCTGGGGCTACGTTTCAGATTCGGACGGTGGGGGCGAAGAGTTGAGGGTTGAAGTTAGAAAGGCGAGGGAGGGGGTTTTTTTTTGCTTGATTGTGATGTGTTTTTAGCGGCATACACTGGCGTTGTTTTGGGATGAATGGATGAGGATGATGGGTATGAATGTGGTTTGCATGATATGTGTACATATGGGGATATCCGAATACATATGTTTATCATCACGTTTGCTTTTGTACCGGCAATATAGACGGGTAAGGCAACGAGCAATGTTGTACAAGACTAAAATACAGCACAAATCATTCACCTCACTTGGTCCAGAGAGAGACACGGAGATGAACAATATCTCATTCCCATTTCCGATTCCACAAAAAAACACAAGACGCCACCAATGCTCCAGACAAATGCACATAGTGCCTGTCCGTTTTCCCTTGACCGAGATAGACTCTAAAAGAAATGATTGGAAAAAATCAAACGTTACTCGGTCCACCGGGACCCTTTGGATCAAGCAACAAATGCGGTTTCAAGAAGCCATCATCAATCTGCTTGAACGCGTTTGCAGGATCATGACTGATTTCACTGATAAGCTGCTTAACCGCACCAGTGGCAGTAGCCACTCTACCCGGTCCTTCTGGTGGTTTATGACCAGAAGTCGGGTACGGTGATACAGTCTGGGAAGCGCCTGCAAGTGGGGATGAGGAGCGGTTGGGAGAACGGCGGGCGCTCGGGGGTAAGTCGAGATCAATGTCGTCTTCGTCGTTTGAGGCACTATCTCCGGGGCTGAGGAGACCCTGATCTGCGCCGTCCCGGGTGCGGACGTGGCTAGAGTTGCGGCGTGTGGCGCCGTTGGGACGGGTTCGGGGACTGCTGCGGCTGCGGGAGCCGCTAGAGTAGGAACTTTCTTGGTTGTTGACATTGTTGAGAGTGAAGGCGCCTTGGCTGGGGCGGGGGGTGTGACCATAACCTTGACCTTGCTTACGGCTATATGTGCCGCCGTTGACGACTTCAATGTCGAACTCGTCGTCGCTGTCGATTTCCTCGACGATGCCAGTGCGGATACCTAGGATTTCCAACATGCGTGCGGTGGTGCCGCCAAAGATAATGACGGTCAAGACAACGACGACAAGGACAGTTGCTCGTAGGGTATCACCGTTATTACCTGTCAGGCCTGCAGCGAGCGCAACACCGACAGCACCACGCAGACCTGCCCAGTAAATCATGGCTTGGTGAGCCCAGGGAATCTCTTCCACAAGCTCTTCTCCACGCCTACGCTGGCGGTACCGGGTCACGGAGTTGATGATTCTAGAAAGCGGGAATACGGCACACCATCGAGCTGCGCAGATACCAGCGACGGTGATGAGGATGAACAGGGGCTTGTAGTCAAGCTTGTCATCGGTAAAGAGCGAGAGTCCCAGGTAGATGAAGATGAAGTTCTCCGAAATCTGCGACGTGACTTGGAAGACAAACTTGGTAGTGAGCTGTGTTCGCCTCGACATGTTGTGGTAAGCATAGTGTTTCATGCATATGCCGCAGAACAGCAGCGAGACAATGCCTGTACTTGGTCAGCGGCAATACATACTGACAAGTCTGCAGTACTTACCCGACATGTGGATGGCGTTGGACATGAAGTAGGTCAAGTATGCAGTGAGAATAATCAAACAACTCTCCGTCTTGGGGAAGCGCCTGACATAGGTGAACTTGAGCATCAGAGAGACGGCAATGCCGACTGTAACACCGATAAACAGACTGCCAAAGAAGACGCCAAAGAAAATGCCAAAGGCCTCAAACAGGCTAAGGATACCCAGCGACTCTGCGCCATCCTTGTACTTTTGTGCAGTTTCAAACAAGACGATAGCAACGGCATCGTTCAAGATTGACTCGCCAAAAATGAGTGTGTACAGCTTGGGCTCTACTTTGTACGTATCGAAGATGGCAAGAATAGTCACGGGGTCCGTGGCCGAAAGAGTGGCGCCCACGGACATGGCCTCGACAAAGTTGATCTTGAAGCCATCGAGAGGGATCCTGGTCCAGAGGAAGAGAATAAGGCCGAGGACTAGAGCAGAGATGAAGGTCCCCGCAAAGGCAAAGGTGAGGATAGTGCCGATATGACGAAAGAAGTTGCCCTAGGGCTTGTTAGGACACGGCAAGGAGCAGGGGTGTGTGTGTGTAAGAACCCACTTGGTGCAGTTCGTAGCCGGCCGATAGGATGATGGGAGGCAGCAGCAGGTTGAAAAACATTTGGTAGTCAAAACTGACGGCATCCCGCACGGATGCTACTGCTGTCAGGCGGAGGATGAGACCAACGACCATTCCTGAAAGTGGTTAGCGGGGCATGTGGTAGCGTGCTCCGGTTACGATGTGAGCCAAGACGGGATTGCAGTGGACAGAACATGTGCAGATTTACCCCACTAATCAATCGCTGATCGAGCTTCTGCCCCAAGCTTGCAGGGCGATGGCTTGTAACCCAGTATGCGCACTACTTGGGGCTTGTCACGACGATTGCGCAAGAGTAGTAGAGGCCACGGAGGCGGGCGTGGGGCAACGTACCAGCAAAGATGGACAAGACGGTTTCATGGACGGCCTGTATTTTGCGTGTGTGCAGGATATAGCTGGTAAAGAGGGCGATTATGAGCAGGACGATGAGGATGGATAAAGCCCATGATGTGAAGATTTCCTTTTGGCCGGCCTCGGGTTCGTCTGGTGCAGGCATTAGACAGGCTTGAGGCGCGGGGAATTTGAAGAGGGCATGGGTAACTGACCATCCGGGTCTGCGTCGGTCGTGTCTCGCTCTGTAGCAAAAAATAGGTCAGTGGTGATCTGGGCGACATGGTGTGTCATGGCATAGGCTTCGAGGGCGCATACTGAGGAGCTGGCCGACGGCCCACCAGCCCATTATGGAAGCCATGCTGGGCTCAAGGCGGCGCTTTCATGGGCCGGATCGCGTCGCGTTGCTGATGAATCGAAGGAGTAGGGCGCGTGTGATGGACGGCACAGGTGGGTGGTGTTGGGCGCGGGTCTTGGATGAAAGGCCACGGGCGCGCCAGATGACAGAGGGCGGATGGCGCGAGTGGGCAGGCAGTGGCAGTGGCAGTGAGAGTGGCTGGGCAGGGCAGAGCAGAGCAGGGCAGCGAGGGTGTGAGGGCGAGCGTGATCAATTCACCGTGACGTGTCTGTGTGTATGTGTGCGTATGTAGGATGTGTGCAGCGTGCATGTATGTAGGTATGTGTTCTCTGGGAGTTGCTGCCTCGCCCTCTGCGCCGCCCCCAGCAAAGCTGCCCAGGTGTCTGTTCGTCGTCCCATGTCCCGGCACACGGCCCTCCCGCCCTAGCACCCCATTGGGACTAGCGCATTAGCAAGGGTCTGAGGAACTGCTCGCTCATGGCCCAACGTCATCCTACATGCTTCCCGCACACACTCTGCCTGCATGACATCGACTTTGAATCGCCCTGCTGAGCGCAAAAGACACCCAACCACCACACACACCCACGCTTGCACGCGCATGCACTCGCGCGCACATGACCTACACCGCTCTCCTCAGCGCCTGGTGACGTTCCCCTGCTGATTCGACTCGCCCTCCTTCGCCTCCCCGCCACTGCCGCCTCCAGCTGCAGTGCGGCTCGTCATTTGCGTAGCCCTTTATTCTTGCTGAGCACGCCGCCAGCTGTTTTGCGCCCCAGCGGAACCGCTAGCTTCTCTTTCACTGTGCTGCATATCTTGGCCCCTCCGCCGTGACTTTTGCCTGCAACAGCCCTGTCTCTCACCACATCACTCCACCCTCCCTCGAGACTGCTGCCCGCCGCCCGCCGCCCGCTGCCAACTGACCCTGGCAGCAAGCCTACCAATCACAGTCTCGCCGACCCTGACCACCTACAGCAATCTATCTCCAGGCCTGACCACGTCGCCGCCTGCACAGCAACCCGATCGCGTGTTGTCCCCACGTCCACTGCCACATCATGTCTTCGACGCCTCTGTCTCGTGGCCGAGATGACTCGGCCCCAGGGCCCCTTTCCCCGCCTCTATCTAGACTCGACACTTCCTCTCCTCGTCCCAAACCACGACCCAAACTCGTCTCTTTTGCCCGCGACTCTCCCCTGGGCGGCCGCCCCGACACTGACGGAGACGCTGAGATAGAATTCATTCACCACGCAGACCATCCGCCCCGCATGTCTTCCGAAGTCGACCCTCTCCTTAAGGAGGCCATGTCGCCCAACAGCGAAGACGACAGCTGGTTGGGTGAATCACAAGTCGAGGAGACAAAATCAAGCTGGTTCCTCTTCCTACTCACTTTCGGCGGCCTCGGCTTGCAAATTGGTTGGTCTGTAGAAACTTCAAATGGCTCGGTAAGTGCTTTTTCCACCTGCCTCCTTCAAAAAAAATTCACTGGCACGCTATGGACCCTGCGTCCAGATCGGCGTCCTGCCACTTGTGTTTTCCGCGGTGGCGAGGCTGCGGCTAACGTTGTCAACAGCCCTATCTTCTGTCGCTCGGTCTGAGCAAGTCGATGCTTGCCCTCGTCTGGATTGCTGGTCCTCTCTCTGGTGTACTCGTCCAGCCCTACGTCGGTCTCAAGAGCGACAATTGCCGTTTGCGATGGGGAAAGCGGAGACCTTTCATTGTCGGCGGTGCTGCCGCAACCATCTTGTCGCTCATGGTTCTCGCTTGGGCTAAAGAGATCATGGGCGGTTTCTTGGGCATCTTTGGAGCAGACCCAGAGTCCACCTTTGTCAAGACAAGTATCATGCTTTTCGCCGTCTTCTTCGTATATGTGCTGGATTTTGCTATCAACGTCATCCAAGCCGGCGTGCGAGCATATATTGTCGATGTTGCACCCACGCACCAGCAAGAATCTGCCAATGCATGGCTGATGAGGTCGGCGGGTATTGGCAACATCTTGGGCTACCTTGCCGGCTACATCAACTTGCCAGACTATCTCCCATGGCTCGGTAACACCCAGTTCAAGGTCCTTTGCGCCATTGCATCCTTTGTCATGGCTCTCACTGTCGGCGTCAGTTGCTCCGCATGCGCCGAACGTGACCCACAGTTCGATACCGCTCCCGCCAACCAGCAAGATGGTGTTATTGCTTTTTTCAAAGGCCTTGCACGCTCAGTCAGGAAACTGCCCCCTCAGATCAAGAAAGTCTGCATGGTGCAGTTCTTTGCTTGGATCGGATGGTTTCCTTTTCTCTTCTACATCACCACCTACGTTGGCGAGATCTACGCCGACCCATTTTTTGAGGAGGACCCACATCTCCCAGATCGCCAGATCGACGGTATCCTTGAAGATGGAACCAGAATTGGCACAAGAGCTTTGTTGATTTTCGCCATCACTACATTCATCGCCTCTGTTATCTTGCCTTTTGTTATTCCGCCAACATTCCAAGCTCCAGAGCCCGAGCGCCCCGTTACTCCCGCGACCCCCATGACGCCATCCACCCCGCATTCTATGAACGGCTCCAGCTACTTTGCACTCAACCACCAGCCCAAAGGATCTTCAAAGACCTTTATGGACAGGCTCTCCAATTCAATGGACGTGCTGCAGATCAAATCGCTAACCCTTCGTCGCGCATGGCTCATCTCGCACATTCTGTTCGCCGTGCTAATGGCCTTGACCTTTTTTGTCCGCAGTGCCTGGGGCGCTACAGTTCTTGTCGGCGCTATTGGTATTCCTTGGTGTATCACAAACTGGGCGCCATTCGCTATCATCTCTTCCGAAATCTCAAAGCGAGACGCCATTCGCCGTGGCATTATCAAGCCTCGTGACCGTGAAGCGCAACTTATTGCAGAGGGCGAAGATGAAGGTTCAGGTGCAGATTCGGCTGGTGTCGTACTCGGAATCCACAATGTCGCAATCGCAGCACCGCAAGTCATTGCCACGTTGATCAGCGCCGTCTTGTTCAGAATCCTACAAAAGCCCAGAGGCACAGCTGGCGACACCAGTGTAGCCTGGGTGCTGCGCTTTGGAGGCATCTGCGCTCTAGTCGCTGCATGGCTGACGCTCCAAGTCAACGAAGAAAAAGAAGACGTTGAAACCGAGGAACCCTTCAGGAGGAGGCGGATGTCCTAGGACGACTCCGATGAGTATTCTTTGGCTCATCTTAGACATGAGTTGGCCCAGTCTCTTAGCCGGCAAAATTCTCTAGACGGAGACACTTTGACAAGCTTAGATCACAGCGAAAGGCGAGGCAAGATTTGGGAAATATTCGAATGGCATTAACCAACCCTGCCGCTGTCCGACACACGCATTGCCCCCGTTTGGATTGTTCTGGCTCCAAAAGTCTGGCTTTTTATTAGACTTTGGTTCCCTCCCCCACTTGAATTAGACTGTGATATTCCTTGTGGGTTTTAAGCGAAGGCGTTCCTCCCCCCTTTTTTGATTTTGGCGTCTTGAGAAGAGAGATTCCACACCTTTTTTTAACGGCTTTATGAAATGGCATGAGCGGAGTTTTTGGGAGGGATTATACACACACACATCCATGTATATGCGGATGGATGGATTTTGGAGGGTTTCTTTCCTGGGACTTCGGCGCGGATAGGGGCGTTTTCTTTTCAATGGATAGGGAAAATTATACCACACACTCTTTTTTTGTGATTACCAGTAGGAAATCTAGGGCCACCTTTTTTTGCTGTTATATTGTAGCTTTTTTGGCGTTTCAATGGAATAGATGATAGGGGTTCGTTCTTTGATGTATTTTTGTCAAATGTTTTGACCATCTTGCTTGGATTTTGTTTTTATCATTCCTCGTGTTATCACACATCTACGTAGTAAAACAAAATTCCAAGCATTATTTACCTATTACGTCTTACAAAATTATATTGTTTTTCGATTTTTTGGAAACATGAGAGTATTGAGTCTAGAGTGTAGCGAAGACGATTGCACATACGATATACTGACGTTTCTAGAACGTCATCGATTTCGGTAGGTTGTTGATGGTGGGGGTGGGGGCTGTGTGGAGTCGTGGGGTATTTTTGTAGATCAACCAGGTGCCCACACATCGATTCCTCTTTCCTCGGTTTTTTTTTTCCAAGAAAGGGAAATTACTGAGAAAGAAAGAATAAAAAGACCACCTAGCTTGATTCCTCCAAGACAAATTTAATACCTCTTTCCTTGAAGTAAAAAAAAACCCCCACAACAATTGCTTGGCAACGTTTCTGAGACCTCACAGCGAAGACGGGGGTTTTTAATACTCGAGTTATTGAAGAAAAACCTCCTTGCAATTCTGCCTGCTTTCTTTTTTGCCTTTGAAGGTATTGCAACATTCTGGACTCAAAAAAAAATAAGGGGGTTGTATCTAGGAAGGGTTAGAAACGTAGTACGTGGTACGCGATACGAAAGTAATTGTCACGTGCTACCACTCTTGACACAACTAAGGTATTCGGATAGGAGATATATTAACATTGAGCTGAGGTGTAACTTGATAGCATGAAAAACAATGTTATGCGTGGCTATGATATTTAGAATTTCTAATGAGTATAGCATGGTGTATTGCTTCATCTCTGCTACCTCTAAAAAAACCCGTGTAGCGCTGGTTTTTATTAAGCAGTATAATTATTTGTATTAGTGGCAAGATTCTATCCGACTTATTTAATTTAATCCACAAAGAGCCGAGAAAATACATGTGTTGTTGTCGAAGAGGTGTGAAAAGATTTTCCGGTTGCTTTCGGTGCATACTGTAAGTTGAGAACGGGAGAAGTGTCGAATGAAAAGTGTCTAGAAAGGTAAGTGACTAGGTATGGATGACAATTATGTCTTAGTAGCAATTTGGAAAAAAAAACGAGAGACACTGTTCTATTGTTGCTTTGCCCTGAAAATAATGAATCTCGCCTTAACCCCCCTCCTCACAACCTATCTATGTACAAAGAAAGTTGACCTCACACCCTACTCTACCGTTCCCATAGAGCTGAACATGTTCAGCAAGCGCACCATCACTCTACAGAGGCGGGTTGGCGTTCTTGACAAGCATCTCAAAGTAGGCCTGGTTCCAGGATCCAGCCTCGGGGCTGGGCTTGTAGGCATCGTCCTTACCGCAGAATGAATCGTAGCGCTTCGCGGAGGTATCGCTGGTACCGTCGCTCTCACCGCCGGGCTTGCCCCACACGCAGGCATCGATGAGTGGAGATCCCGTGTCAGCCGTGGGGGGGCGACCGAATCCAGCACCGTTGACATTGCACCAGTCGCCCCATTCCTTGCGGATACCCGTGACGCCATTGCGGCCTGTGTCGACAATGGCCTGGCCGGGCATGCCTGCGGCGACAAGTTCGGGCGATATGAGCTGGACGTACTTCTTCTCGTTTTGTGCCTTGTTGTACTGGCCGTCGGAGGAACCAGCAAATTCTCCAGGCTCTTGGTCCAGCGAGTTCCAGCCGGCAATGTTGGTCGCGATACCGCGGACTGCCTTGGGGCTGCCAGCATTTTTGTAGACCGTCGCAAGCTCCTTGGCGCCCGGTTCTGCTCAGATTAGCTTTTCTATTTTTTCTCCATGTACGATTCAATGACAGGTAAAGGAGAGTACGTACTGATATTGGCGTCCCAGCCAAGCCAACCTCCGTGACCAGCATCTATGTACATGGCTACATTGGGGAGATTCAGCTGCTTAAGCGCATACGCAACTCCCTCGCGGTATCCGGCAGCAGAGGCCTGGCATGTCGCCAAGTTGCTGTTGGTGACCAAGTTGGGCAAAGAGTCGGGCTCGATAATCAGAGCGAAGGCGATGTTTGGGTACTTCTTGATGATTGTAACAATGGCTATGATGGAGTTCCGGGTTAGTGGCGAGATCTACATAAGATAAGACGATGGTTAGTACTCACGATCAATGTACTGCGTCTTGTAAATGTTGATTTCGCCAACGGCAAGTTCGCCGTTAGATGCTTTGGCGGCGCAGTCGCGACCAGGCAGATCGTAAATGATGAGTCCGCGAATCTGGGTGCAGGGGGTGTCCTTGATGATGTCGTCGAGCATCTTGATCTTGTCACGCGTATCACTGAATTGCATGTCAGCATCCTTTTCACTAGAAAACCATACAGCCCGAGCTTTCAGCGCCTTACATCCAGAAAAAGCTTCCAATATTAGCGACCTTGGCCGCTTTTGCTGCAAGTGTCGAGTCGGTGATTTTTGTAACAGCTTCTTTGACCTCGGCAGCATAGAAACTATTGACAGCGAGGGAGCGATTGGAGAACGGGTTTCCAGATAGCGTGACAGGAGAAGAGCATACTGCGGCCTGGCGGGCAGCGATGTCGCGGCGCTCAGCAGGAGAAGGAAACGCAAGAGCGCCAGAGATGGCCGAAGCCACCGTTGCGGAGAGAAGACCTTTCATGGTAGTGGCTGTAAGAGAACGTGCGAATGCAAGAGAGCGTATGGTAGTTTGGATGCTGAAACATTCGAGTGACGAGCCTCCTTCTTATACAACTCATGTACTGGCAGCTGAGAATTGGGATACTTGTCCATCGGAAAGCAGGCCCGAGGGTGATTGACAAGGGGCAGTTGTCAGGTTTGGGCGATCAGCCCTCGAGAAATAAGATTTAGATGAACATATATCATGTGGGGAATGATACTATACCAAGTTTATCTGTAGTAAAGTGCCACTTTAGTAGGAGGAGGCAACAGTACGGTTCTTGCAGTGGGTTCGAGGTTTTACACTTGGGTACCCTTTGATAAGCTGGACCGCGTTGGAGCGACGATGCCTTGCCATCTCATATTTCGTCGATGAGACAGTGTCGGAATATTTCTCAAGGTATCTTCTCCAAAGTAGGATTTGAAGCGCAAATGGTGCCTAATTTGTCTCTGTGTATGCGTCCTTGATTGGCATATATGACTAGCAGGGTCAATAGATGAATGTCTTACGAGAGACTTTAGAACTGCGGGGATGTTGGCTTCCCGAGCCTCTACTACCCCGCGGTCTCGACGTTAGTCTCTCAGCCTCATCTATGAATACCCCGACGAATCGGCTATGAGAGTGATGGCGATGTTCGAGCAGATCAAGTAACAAGATGGCCTCGATCGATCACGTCTACCGTTCCACAATGCTGGCTTGACCACTACAAACTGAAGCACCAGGGCATTGTGTAGTTAGCCTCATTTGTGGGTACATGTAGATTTGTATTTGGATAATGCGGGTACACGACTCCGAGCCGCCGTATGACGCAGCAGTGATGGGCCTGCATACAGCATGTTGAAGCTATATGGCCCCATGGCATAGATGTATCAGGTGTTGATAGAATGAGCGCGTTGTTTGGCGTACTAGAAGTAAGCGTATGTATTCGGCCCGGGATGTTTTGGCTGAACCGCCTTCTCGAAACATTCTGCCGTGCACATGACAGCCCAATTTGATGAAGGTAGATCTTGGACACTGCTGAGGATTTCATTTATCCTGACACACGGCACATTGTACATAATTCTGGAAGGCGAACTATGGCAGTTGTTCCATGCAAGGGTGGGTGCCATGTGCAAAGAGGAATTAAGTCCATGCACGAACGGGGCGTCGTAGCTTGGAGCAAACGAATGGCTCGCGCTTGATGTTGCGAGATTGATTGTAACTTGTCTGCGCCACGGTTCAGCATTTCCCTAGATCAAGGCAGTGAGGCTCGGGAGAGTTGCGGATAGTCAACGGGAAATGGGGCATCTCCCTCAGATTGACTTGGACTGGAAGACAATGTGCTAGTATTACCGGGGTGCCGTAGTATATGTTGCGGTGTTTGTATCATACGTGGACTGCGACGCGTTGCAAAGTGTCGCAACCAACCATAGGAGCCTTGGTCGTATAGGGTGATGACAGCAATCTTGCAAAGGCGACATGTGAGTGGGCGAGATGTTTGGAAACTCCCGGATGTCGGGTAATAGGAGACAGCTGCCGCCCTGCACCACGTTTAGTCCCATCTGGTGCTAGCGGCAATATCGAAAGGCTCTTGGTTCACTCAAGCTCCGCATTCTGGCCCCGCAAGCCTTGCACTCGGCCGAATCCTTAAGCTTATGTAGACTTCCGTACCTTTTCGAGACTCTCGGATGATTGATAGCGACCACGCGTGAAGGGTCGGGCGAAGACTCCGTCGCTGCCGACATCGTTCACATTGTCCTTCTCTCGATCTGCCGTTTGTGCTTTTGGCATCTGAAGCGAGCCGGCATAACACCACACTCGCAGGTCAGCAGTATTCTCGTGTCCATGTCCAACTTAGATTGATGCTACCATACTTTTGTGACGAATCACATCACCGCAACCCAATGAAGACACCACGGTTATAGTTTTATTGTCTCCTGTCCTTCCTCTTTTGGTTCATTCGCGTCCAGTCCCGATATTATCAAGTGAGATTCATAAAAACTTACTTCGGATTCATTGTTAGCTCTCGATGCGCTGTTTTTCTCAGCGAGTACGCCGACGAGCTATATCGTGGTTTCAGAGCTCGTGGGACGACGGTATAGCTTGAACAACTCCAAAGACGAGTGAATTCTATAGAATAATTCCCACAAATTTGACAGGATGTCAGGTGCATTGTTTCTCTAGATATTCTTCGAACGAATGCTATCTGGCAAACCCACTGTGACCAGACTTCGCGTCCGAATGCGGATTATATACACTAGCCCCCAAATGGCCTAGCCTCTCACATTTGATCCAGTCTCCTTCATCGGCTCAAGCATCCCACGCACGACTGTTACCCTCACGCCCGAAATGAAGAATTTTGTCATATGGATTTACCAAACCTGATTCAATAAGATGCTGGCCGTCTGATTGAGAAAGCCCTTTTCCTTACAAAACTCAACACAATGCGGGGTAAAGAATATTGAATCATCTCGATTGACCAAACTGAACGTTAGCAATCGAAAAGATAGTAGATCAGGCAAGCAATGTCCAAGCCATTAACTGAAGCGGATATTATATTTCCGCATCTCTCCAACACACCAAACTTATCAAGCACCCTCTCATTGTTACGCCGTTCAACGCTCTCAACACACAACCGGCTCGCTTCAATCATATCCGACAGTGCTTTTGTCGAATCTGTTGCATCAGCCTATGAGCTTCCCTTGGTAGCCAATGAGCGCTGTGGTAGTTGGTACATTCCGCCATCTTTGAAGTCCGGATCCGTCTACTTTAAAAGCACAGACGGTCACATGGGCGAATGGAGTTTCAGTCTGCGAAGGCTGAATTTACAATTGCTCGATGTGGTAGAGAAATGGGGCGGTGCAGTTGTAGTGGATAGTACGAGGAGGGGAAAGAGTATGCCGGATGCATTGAGCAAGACTATCCCAACGTGGTGTTGCGTGATGAATCGGGCGGTGTTTGGTGTGGAGAAGGCAAAAGAAGAGACGAAGCTTTTTACACCACCGCAAGCTGTGGGGGAGAGCGAGCATGCGCAGATGGAGAAGAGAATTGATGGGTTTGTACAACAATTTTTGGTATGTTTTCTTAGGCTGCTGAAATGCTGGGATGTTGTAGCTGATAGAACGAAAGGACATCTGCAAACCCAACATCCCACTTCTCCGTAGTAAGCTGAAAAAGCCACTCCGCCCCATATGGATAACACAGAAATCTTCTCTTCCGGATTCAGCTCCTTCTTTTTCGGATTTCCATCCCATAGTCCTCTGCACAGCGTCATGGCGTGTCCATGGCGCCGAGGCATCAGAAAGCGGATATATCCAGGGTGCTGCAGACGACCACGAGGCGTGGTCACACGGACTTACGCCGCCACTTTTCTGGGAAAACAGGGATATGCTGATGAGAATGAATGAAGGGGATGCTCCAGAGATCATTGCAAAGCTCATCAAGGAACAAAAGGGCAGTGGCGCAGCTGCAAGCTTAATCAAGCCTACATCACAGCTATATATCTCATCCAGCGAAAACATACAATTGGCAGGTTTTGAAACTGTAGTCAGCTGCACACCAGAGCCATTTGCATCTACTACACTCAAAGATGCGGGAGTAAGACACTACCTTCATCTGAAATGTCAGAACGGCAAGCTGGGGTCACGCGACCTTCGCACTCAGCTTCCTCAGCTTGTTCCATTCTTCTCTTCTCTCCAAACTCCCGAAACACAAAGCAAAATACTATTATGCTGTCCCACAGGCAAAGATCTCTCCGTTGGAGCTGCCCTAGCGATATTATGTCTTTACACAGACGAAAGCGGAGCAATCGATACAGGAAAAGCGAAAGAAGCCAAGAACATGGATAAATCGTTCATCAAGCAGAGACTAAGCTGGATCACCACGAGCAACGCAGCCTTGAATCCAAGTCGAGCAACACTTCAAAGCGTCAACGCCATGCTACTCTCCAGCCAAGACCCAAAAGCCTCTCTCCCCACACAACCAATAGCGACCCTTCCAATCCGCGAAACCCGACCATTACCCTCCGAACCCACAAACCCAACACCTCAAGACCCAGCTCCTAGATCCCGACTCTCCAGCCCTAGATCCATCTTCACCAACCTCGCCACCACCTCGACCTGGAACTTCACCCGCAACCTCACCTCCAAGCTCCCCAGCCACCCTTCCGGTACCGTCACCGGCACCGCGACATTCACCCCCATGCCCCACTCATCTTCTATCCCGCTACCAACCCTGCTCTACGCCGAAGAAGGCATATTCAGCACAACCACCGGTCTCAGTTTTACCGCGCGCAGAAAATACGTGTATCAATTGTGTCCTGGTGCTGAGCCGGCAGACACAGAGTTCATCGCTGTACGCTTTTTCGATGACGACAAGATGCGTGAGGCGAGGCAGGAGGGCGGTGTTGGAAGTGATGGGCAGGGGATTGGGGGGTTGTTTGTTGAGATGGGGGAACTGCAAGCGGGCGAGGAAGAGGAAGCGGTTAGAGCGAAGAATAGGGAGACGCATCTTTGTGGGAGGGATTTGTATGCTGCGACTTGGGCTTTTGCGAGGAATATGACGGTAGAGGGAGGGGAGGAGGGGGAGGTATGGTGGGAGGTCGAGTACGAAGTCAAGGGGCCGCAGAAGGATTATACAAGTTCGACGAGGTATACGCGGGTGGTGGAGTAGGGTGGGTATGTACATTTTTTTTTTGGCTATTTTGACTGATTGGTGTATCTAGCTTTCTAAGCTCCCTTCGACACCAAATGTATTAGATGGTGATGGACTCAAGAATCCTGATCGCCAAATGGATAATTGAATTTCAACAACGCATTCAGACCGCCTACCCAATGATCCTCTGCCATATCTTCCTTGCCCGTAGTGCCTCTAACAATGCTGGGTACGCCGCCCTCCCAGCCTCTAGCATCGCGCTTGACTTCCTCCCCGCTTATGCGGACTTCCATTCCTGTACCCAGTTTTTCAGTGATGGTGCTGCCGTCGATACTAACTTCGACTTCTCGGCCGCGATTCTTGGCGCCGAGACGCAGTGTAATGGGCGTTTCGGCGGGTAGGACTAGGGGTCTGAAAGAGAGGGAGCGAGGGCAGATGGGAGTGAGACAGATTGATGGGACGAGAGGGTGTACGATGCTTCCGCCAGAGGAAAGCGAGTATGCGGTTGAGCCTGTAGGCGAGCTGATAATCATACCATCCGCAACAGCTTCTGTCAGAAACCGATTGTTGATGTATACATCGATAACCTTGAGATGTGGACTTCCGCCGCGGTGCAGCGTGACTTCGTTCAACGCGTAGGTATCGCCCTCATCGTCTGTGCTCCCGATTCTCTTCCCGTCGGGCCCGAAAACACCGACTTTGAGCCTGTTACGAAGGAGAATGCGCGCTGTTCTGTTGGTTCCCATTGCCTTGCCGCGTATATCGGCGTAGCTCAATGGCTTGTCTAGTGGGTCATCGGGCGAAGAAGGCAAGCGTGGTGGGCTTTTGCCTAAGGAATCAGATAATGTTGCGTACGTGTCTGGCGCACCGCTCATGTATACCTCTCGAAATGCGCGCTTGTACTCTTTGAATTTAAATTCGCCCAGAAAACCGATTGTGCCCATGGCGAAGCTCAGGACAGGAGGCACATTTTCGGAATGGCTGAAGAGACTGCTGGCTCTCAGCAGTGTTCCGTCTCCGCCTAGAGTGCAGACCAGATCGGTTTTATCCGAAAGCTGCTGCGGTACGCCATTGCTTCTCTTGTATGTATAGATGGGAAACGAAAGTTTTTCATGCAACTCTTCTGCTGTTTCTGGGTCAAAGATGACGTTTATGGCGGGGTAGGTGGAGCGGATATGCGACGTGAATTCAATGACGGACTCGGTGATGTTGGGCGTGCGCTTCTTCTTGGTGACGAGTATATTTCGTGGCGGTGATGGCCATTGGAGGCTGAGGAGTGTGTTGTTGGGTGATTGTATGTACGACGGCTTTGTGCGCAGAGGCAGCTCGGAAATGTGCTTGATCTCGCGACGGCGGGGTGTCGACGAGAAACTGCGCGCCTGTGCGGGCGAACCAAGGAGCCGCCATGGCAGTGGATATCTCTGGGATATGCGCATGTTCGGGGCGCTGTGTGTAAGAATATAGCTACGTCTGTAGTTGTGTGCGATGCGGTGCGCAGAGGCTAAACCGGCGGGTGGATGCCATATGACTGGGCGATGACGAGGGCGACTGTAGGAGCAGCAGTCATGACGATGCTGGACCGCGAGGGGCGAGCAGTAAATACAGAGCCACCACGCAGAACGTACATAGATGGATACATGGATAGTAGCAGAGTCGTGATGCGGAGATAGCAGGGCTAATCTCCACCTTCACGTGCAAACAACGTGTCGGCAACGTGGGATGGGATGCGAGTGAAGGAGAGCCTAGCGTCCCGCAGCGCTCGGGCAATCCCTGCACAGGTGGGGTACTATCTTTGGCCCGGTGCCATCATCTCAGATGGACTGAGGTGGATCGGCATCAGCCTGCTGCGCTGCGCGTCCACGACACCATGAGCATGGGTACATGCTGCAAGCTGCCGCCTGCTTACCCTGCTTCGTCTTCCTTCTCTCCACCTTCTTTTGCCAGGCAATCGCTACCTCGATCCCTGGATGTCCACCATTCCTCGTTACGCCCCAACTCGCCGTCACATGCTCAGACCACGATTCACGCGCCCATCTGAGCGATCCGGCCACTTCCACTCGGTACACCCATGTACATTCGCTGCACCAGCCCTGCCCTGAGCCAAAAGAATTATCTGACAGCTGTCTGCATATGCTTCCTCCCAACCTTACCATGTCGATCCAAGGCCTCAGACAGCGGCAGATGCCCGTCGAGCCACCTGTCATCGCAAAGCTAAAAGCACAGCGTACCAAAACACCTGCCCGTCCACAAGACCCCGAACCAGCAAAGCATCCAGCGGGCGACATCAAGCATGGCGCCTTTGCACAGGCCCTGCGCATGTTTCTGTTCGCAGCCTACTTCGCCGGGAGCATCGTGGCGTCAGTATACACGCATGGCGGATAGGCCCCCACGGGATGCTGACTTTATGTTCCAGCATCGCTATCACGCAGTATTTCGGCTGTCCCTTGTATCTATACAGCAAGAACCTCTTCTATGCATGGATGGCCATGTCCAAGCAGCATTTTGGCATCGTCGTCACTACCATGACCTACTGGTGGGCTCCCGTTACCATGCGAGTCAGTGGGGATAAGAGCATGAGGGGACAACTGAGAAAAACAAAGGATGGCAGATTGGAGTCCGAATTTCCCGAACGACTGGTCCTTATTTCCAACCACCAAGTCCGTCTACCCGTCTCGTCCCGCTTTCCCCCCAACAGCTACTAACGCTCCCTAGATTTACACCGACTGGGTCTACCTTTGGTGGGTAGCTTACACGGCTTCGATGCATGGCCATCTCTACATTATCCTGAAAGAGTCGTTGAAATATATACCCGTCATAGGCTGGGGTATGAGGCTATATGGCTTCATCTTCCTCTCGCGCAAGTGGTCGACGGACAAGGAACGTTTCCAGCATCGGCTGAAAAAGCTGACCACCAGCCATAGCGGCCCGCTGTCCGGTTCCCAGGAACTTGACCCTATGTGGCTGCTCATCTTTCCCGAAGGCACAAATCTCAGCGTAAACGGTCGAACATCGAGTAGGAAATGGGCAGAAAAGAACAAGATTGACGACTTGAGGCATGCAATGTTACCGAGAAGCACGGGCTTGTTATTTTGCTTGAAAGAGCTCAAGGGTTCCGTCGAATATCTGTATGATTGCACAGTAGCCTATGAAGGCGTCCCGTAAGCTCATCTCCATTCTATTACTAGTTCATACGACAGCTAATCTTTACCAGCGTCGGTCAATACGGTCAAGATATCTTCACCCTCCGTGGTACCTACTTCCAAGGTCGATCTCCAAAATCAGTAAACATGCACTGGCGCCGCTATGCCATCGCCGACATCCCAGTCCACGATGAAAAGGAATTCTCTGATTGGCTACTCCTTCGTTGGCGCGAAAAGGATGACCTCTTACAGTACTTTGTCGAAAATAACCGTTTCCCCGCAGACGACGGCGAAACACCTAATGTCGACGGTGGAGAGCCATTGAAAGGCGCAGGATGGATCGAGACGGATGTTCGACCGGTCAAGTGGTACGAATGGTTGCAGATTTTTGTCCCGACTGCTGCTCTTGGGCTCGTCGTCAACGTGTTTGTCAAAATTTTCAACATTGTTATGAAGGTCGCGGGGTTGAAGTCTAAGGCGTAGATTGCAAAGGAAAAGAGGGAAAGAAAAGACCTTGAGTTGGACTAAAGAAGTAATCGGGCTATTGCAAGAGTTGGAGTGGCTTAGGCCTTGGTTGGCAGCGGCTGTTATTGTTACGTTCGCTGGGGTGTGGTACATTTGTAGGTAGATCGCTTTGATACCCCTCATCCATTTTTTCGGATGATACTCTCTACTCTGGTTCGTTGCGCTTGTAGTGTAACAATTAATACAATGAATGTAACTGGAAGCAGGGTACAGACTAGATAGTAACTAAGTATATTCTTCATGGAGTATCTCTTACGAATTCGTCCCCATAACTATTGACTTTTGAACATGGGAGAGGATACTTATTCAAGATATATCAGCTTCGCAGCTCGATGCCGCCTTGACCTTGTCGGTAATGCTAGTGGTCTAGATGGCGGCATCATTACGAATGGTCAGAGACTCTAAGCTAGTGAGGCGAATTGCGTTGGGTTTTGCATGGTAAATAGATGATCCGATGTTGTCAAGAAATGCTGACGAGGACGTGTCTTTCTTGCTCTAGATATCGTCTGTATGATAGACACATTTTCTTATGAAGCCTTGTTATCATTCTCATGTCTTATGGGTTTTGTGAATATATCTCTTCCATCGCTTGAGCATCACCTTTAGGTATGGATAATATTTCAAACAATGGTGTTGGTCTTGGAATTGAGAGAGTGACCTGCACAACATCACTCGCAGGAAGCGAAAGTCGCTAGTACAAATACAGCCTAGCAGTTACCGAAATTCACCCCACCCGTGACTCCACATAGAGAGGCTCAACCCTCAAGATTCGCCATCGCAATCCTGCGAGCCCCAGACAGCACAAATCTGCCCATCATGGCGACAATGACGGTAACAGAGACACAAAACAAGAGGAGGCTGCCGAAGAATGTAAAGTTGCCACCCGAGAATGAGCGCTACATGCGGGCATGCGCAGATATTGCGTCGGCGCTCATCCAAGACTACGAATCCCAGGCGGATGGAACAAAACCAAAGAAAGACTTAAACTTGAATGCCTTGCGCGGTCAGATTGCAAAGAAGCATTATTTGAAGAGTCAGCCTCCGCTTACGGCGATTATTGCGGCGGTGCCAGAACACTACAAGAAATACATTTTACCAAAACTCATTGCAAAGCCAATTCGTATGTTGAGATGAAACAATCCGAAGATCTGGAGAAGAGGCAAGGACTGACTAGGTAAAAAGGTACATCATCAGGTATTGCAGTAGTGGCAGTCATGTGCAAGCCACATCGCTGCCCGCACATTTCCTACACTGGCAACATTTGTGTATACTGCCCAGGAGGCCCAGACTCAGATTTTGAATACTCAACTCAATCGTATACGGGATACGAGCCAACGTCTATGCGTGCCATCCGAGCGCGGTATGATCCGTATGAGCAAGCTCGTGGTCGTGTGGATCAAATCAAGTCCCTAGGCCACAGTGTCGACAAGGTTGAGTACATCATTATGGGTGGTACATTCATGTCTTTGCCAGAGTCCTATCGAGATGAGTTCATATCACAGTTGCACAACGCTCTATCCGGGTACCAAACCAAGGACGTGGATGAAGCCGTTGCAGCCGGTGAAATGAGCAATATCAAGTGCGTCGGTATTACCATCGAAACACGACCAGACTACTGTCTGGACCAACATCTCTCATCGATGCTACGATACGGATGCACCCGTCTAGAAATTGGCGTACAGTCTCTCTATGAAGACGTAGCCCGCGACACAAACAGAGGCCACACTGTCGCCGCCGTAGCAAAAACCTTTTGCCTCGCCAAAGACGCAGGCTTCAAAGTCGTATCGCACATGATGCCCGACCTCCCCAACGTAGGCATGGAGCGCGACCTCGACCAGTTCGTCGAGTACTTTTCCAACCCGGACTTCCGCACCGACGGACTGAAAATCTACCCTACGCTCGTCATCCGTGGTACGGGACTGTACGAGTTATGGCGAACAGGCCGCTACAAGAACTACACCCCCAACGCCCTCATCGACATCGTCGCTCGCATCCTCGCTCTCGTACCTCCATGGACTCGCATCTACCGTGTGCAACGTGACATCCCCATGCCGCTCGTCACTTCCGGCGTTGAAAACGGTAACCTGCGCGAACTCGCACTCGCCCGCATGAAAGACTTTGGTACTTCATGTCGCGATGTGCGGACGAGGGAAGTCGGCATCAACGAAGTCAAGCACAAGATTCGTCCGGACCAAGTCGAACTCGTGCGCAGAGACTACACGGCCAACGGTGGGTGGGAAACGTTTCTCGCATATGAGGATCCCAAACAGGATATCCTTATCGCGCTGCTGCGTCTGCGACAGTGCTCAAAGGAACATACGTTTCGTCCGGAGCTGACGGGCCAGCCGTCGTCGCTCGTGCGCGAGTTGCATGTGTATGGGTCAGCGGTGCCGATACATGCGAGGGATCCAAAGAGGTTCCAGCATCAGGGCTATGGCACGCTTTTGATGGAGGAGGCGGAGCGGATAGCGAGGGAGGAGCATGGAAGTACGAAGATTAGCGTCATCTCGGGTGTGGGTGTCCGCAGTTACTACGCGAAGCTTGGGTACTGGCTGGATGGGCCGTACATGAGCAAGACGCTCGAGCCATTGTGGGAGAGGGAGTGGTAAGCCCACGTGATTAGGGCATGGATTGATGATAGTAGATGAGTGTGCATTGCTGGCGCTGGGTCGTTGTATTTGTTCAGTTTTGGTACCAAAGGGATGCGATGCACAGGGTCAACAGACGCGCGTGAAAATAGCATGTATTGTACTAAATCAAACGTCTTGTTGCAAACCGCAGAAATCGCCTGTATCCATCGAACGCCATATGCCATGTTACAAGATACAAATACTTCCATCTCTCTTCAACAGGTGCGTCGCTGTTTATCAACCCGACCTTCCTGCATCGCGTCTAGCGATCCTCTGATCTTTCTCGAGGCCGCATTATCCTACGATTGTGTACTCCGTGGTATCCGAAATCATGACAGGCTTATCGCGCCACGACGGCTTTCGCGCATGTGAAGGAGGGCCTGCAGTCCGCAGAAAACGAAGAAGCCCTACATCCAGTTAGCAAATCGCGTTACCCTACGTGATGGTGAGAGCGTACAATGTATATGAAGACGGCCCCAAAGAGTGCGCCTGCAACCGCGCCACCGTCCTTGGGGTCCTCTACTCCGCCCATTACCGTGTTGCTACTTCCCTACAAGTCGCATGTTAGCTATTTCCTCGACTCCTCTTGATGCTGAGAGATTCGCGACAGCATGGTTGATACTGTGCGGTCGCATTTGCAGGGTAGACGTACTCTGAACAGTGCTCCCAGCGTGGACAGAATGACAATCGCGAACAGGGACACGACAATGCTGCCAACACATTAGCTCCCTCATCTTCCTTCCAAACAGCCCTGGATCGCACATACCATGTCCAAGCATTCATGGCGGAAACAACAGGCTTGACCATGTTGGGCGGTTTGAAGCTCTGGTATCGCTTGGAGGCGGATAGCTTGTTTAACGGCGCTTTTGAGGCAGCGCGAATCTAGCTATTGTGGGTATCCGAAGAAAGGCGATAACGTCGGGACGGCGATTTCGAGAGTGAGATGGACGGTTCGAGGACTTGTCGTTGTCGTGATGGCGATGTTATGGTTGGGTGGATGAATGACCCGAAAGCTTCAAGTCGTCATGCCCTGTCTCGCCATCTGCAGCTATTGAGTGGTCTGTGCGCGCCGCATGAGAATGGCGCATCAACACTTCTTTCCTGTGCTTGGTTTCAACCATAAATTCCCTATATTGTTTAAAATGTCAAAATGCCTGGTTTTCTTTTCTTTTGAAACGAAAAAGAAATCATTGCAAAGCGTTAGTTTGAGAATTGATGTCCTGATTCAAGAATCGACAGTCGGGGGATACGAAGCGGGCCGTTGTAAGCTCCGTATAGAGACGCGAAGAACTAATAGGTATTATGGTGGTATTTGCGGTCGCCTAACTTTCCCACGTGGATATGCTTCTCCTAGTTCTGTATACTAGTGTCGAGATGGTTTGTGAACATCTCTGTGGTTGGCGCTATATGTGAACTCCATGCAATGTGGTTCGCGTTCGGGTCGTCGGACTTGGGATATCCATCATCCCTTGGTATTTCTAGAACACAGGGATATATTAAGTAGCTGAAACTATCACACTGGGACCACACGCCATCTTTCGTGTCTTGAGTTTGGAGGTAACAGTTCATCGTTTCAAATGTTTCGAACCACAGAACAATGACATCAACAAGATGCTACGCACGACACATGGTGTTCTCGGGGCTGTAAGTATAGTCGCACACCTAGGGCCTCTTCCCCACGTTTTTCTTGTCCCTGATAAAATGAGCATTTAATATCCGACTCCGGCTCTAATCCTCAATTCACCTAGGGCTAGACGGGGTTCAGTATAGACGGGACGGAATTGTTGCTCTATACCCTATCAGCGGGCAAGTTCAACCGCGCATTGGCTGGACTGTGCACCGCGCACCACACATTAAGCCGGTCTGCACATTCCAGAATATGATACGGGCCGCTTCACGTGCGGAAAGACCGGTTTCTTTGTTATTGGGCTACTGTGAAATGGGTAAAGCTCTCGCGCCTTATCTCGAAAAAAAGAAGCACTCGAGCCATGAAGTAAGGTCTGGACATACTATCTAAGTAGCGGTGAACCAGGAAGAGCACGTTAATGTACCCAGAAATATAGATGAAAGCGCCAGTAGTAAATGCCTAGAAGCTTGTCATACTAAGAAAGGGGAGATAGGGAGCTTGTGTTGCTTTTCCCGTAAATTATTCCGTCGAGAAAAGCTTGTGTTGCTGGTTGCGGAGAAACTGCCCACACATTGTGTTGATCTCCTAGCTTGAAACAACATTCAGAACAGAGGGCATATGCACCACGACCTCTTTCTGAGTTGATTTCCGGGGCTAAAGTGAAGATCTTCCAGAAAATAAATAGTATTGTTAGCTAGCTTCAAAGTGATGAAGACCGCTGTCTTCATGTACACCTCCTCAGTTTTAATCGACCGCACCACTAAGTACTTAGTGACGCTCGAGCTGGCTAATTTGTTTTAGCCTTATGAAGCCGTACTCTGACAACAGGGGTCCAGTGCGAGGACCGGCCCTGTAAAACGCAGGGAAACACGGCCACATGTAAACTAATTCCTCCATAAATCCATAGTGGGGCCGAAGCCGACTCATAGGCACTGCTAACCAACCCATTACTAACGGGAGAGATCCTACTTTTTATAGTTAGTTGATCTATTGTTCAAATACCATAAGAGGGGCTTCATCCAAGGTCCATTCCCTTCTTCACTCTTCACCCAGCACTTCAAACTCCACCAGACAATCACACCAACCTAATTCCCCAACGACCGAACACCGTCACTATGAAGATTGCAACTCTTGTACTCCTTTGGGCTACCTCCGCCGCTGCCTGGGTAAGTGTTCTTCTTCCACGATGTGTAATTTTTAAAGGCTAATTCTTTCGAATTATAGGAATGCAGAAACAGATCTGAGAAGTTCAGGTCCGACAAGGCTGCCGTTACTAAGCAGGGTACCCAGGAGAAAAGCTGGACCTACTGCCCTGAGGCTGCTGGGTGCTGCACGGATGGAAACGTGTGGTATGCCTGCAAAAACGTAAGTCTCGTCCCTCTTGTGTATTTGGATGAGTGGTTTGCTGATACTTCTATAGACATGCCCAGGTGGTAGGAACTGCGCCAGCGGTTGCTAAGCATTGGCGGAGACATGAGGTACGGGAAGTGCTATTTTCTAGGCTCCTCCCAGCCATTCATATCACAATGTATAGATCATCTATATTCTTCCGTAAATAGTTAACTTATGTTTCTCAATCCAAAGTAACGATCAACCTTGTTCCCAGATTCATTGTAACCTGTGACACTAAGCAGCGCATCCAAGAAGGCATAGTGGCGGATGTTCGCTTCAGATTTCAAGATCAGCCTACAGTTTTTTTAGTAGTAAAATACTCATTACCTTGTATTGTAGCTTGAGATCGCCAGGACACATCAAAATCGCCTTAGCACAGGAGGGGGAGTTATACTAGGGTAGCTAGTATCGCTGTCCTGCATGATAATGATTGCAAAGAATTGAGATTATTAGTTCTAGTTGTACAGCATCTGTTCAATATCAAGGCTTACTTTGCCACGTTTTATCACATGTTGCATCGGCTGCCCCCTCTCCATCCATCTCAATACTGCTTTCTATCGCTGTCTTCTGCCATAGCTGTTCTTCTACAGTCAAAAGATCACGCCTCCCCGGCATTGTGATAACCAGTGTCATTCATCATCATTTTTCCACCAATCGTCTTCCAGCAGCTCCTTCGCTGTTGGGGGGTCTCTCCAGTCAAGCTTCATCATCTTGGATATGAAGATATTGTCTCTTTTGGTTACTTCCTTCTCAGTAACCTGTATGAATGAAGTCTTCTTCTTCTGCGCAATTGTTTGCACGAGGTAAAGAATGGATAGAGCCGCTTCTATGTGCGCAATTTCAGCAATTTTGGCTGGTTAAGGAGCAAAGAATTTGAGTTGATTCTCTATAACCCCACATGAGTACTCTTCATTGTCCTGTTTCATTCCCTTGGGTCTGAAAAGGTTGAGGCGTCCACCGTAAATGGGACTGATGAGCTATGAAGACATCAGTTTGGATTTGTACCCACAATAGTAGTAAGGTTGCGACCTACCATAGTACCGAATGACCATATGTCAGCGGTAGTGTTCCATGGCTCATGGAAATTAGCGTCGTACCCGCGTGCACGAACCCGTCCTCATGTAAAATATTGATTGCCTCAAAGACGCATCGCGACACGTATTTTAATTCCCGTCGATTAAGGGTTTTCGTAGCAGACCCTTCTAGAAGGTCACCTTGCAAGCGTTCCAGAATTATAGTTATAGGGACAGACGGTTCGTTGATTTCATCAATCAAGGGTCGGAGGTACGGAGTGCGTTGCTGGAATCTTTTGAGTACATCTCGTTCGTTTTCAACCCGTGAATAATCTCAAACACTCTTGATGACCACTAGTTCCTACGCATAATTGCTAGAAGTTATGAGAATGGATGATACAAACGGAACGCGGTAGGCTTACCGCGCAAACCACATAGTATCTTAGATTTCTTTCGTAAATTGTGTATTTGCTCGCATGCCCTTTAAGAAATTGACAGATCCAAAATAGCGAAGACATTGGATGATGGTCAAATTCTACTAGTCAGCACAAACGGCCTTGCTAAGAGCAAGACAAGAGTTATCGTTTGTACGAGAGGTCATGAAAATGAGGAATAGCTGTGATGAAGCGGTCCTTGGCCAATAACACAAGTTCAAAAATCATAATCGTGGTGACTGTGTGCTTTGTTTTTGAGAAAAGGTATAATTGCAAGACTATAACTGTTGGAAGCAATGAGTGAATGTCTCACGTGATCATGCGTGTGAGTACCATGGTTCTAAAATACCAGCAGATGACCGTGCTACGTTTCTCCTGAATACAGAATAGTAAATTCTTAACCATACGAATATCATATAACGTATCCCAATCATTCAAATCCTCTCAACCAACTATCTTCGAAGGTGGACTTCAGGTTGAATATGTAGCCAGAGTGGGCTTTAATCATCACTTTTCATTTGTGATGGAGTCGCGGTAACGTTATTTGGTAGAACTCAGGATAATACAAAATAATTGTGCTTTATACTGTATCATGAATAGGCAGTGGTTTTGTCGAAGTACACGACTGATTGTCTTAGAGGTGTAGTGAAACTGAGGGATAGTACTAGTCCGTATACGGGCAATATAGGTAGCAGTCACGTGTTTTCGCGGTTTCTCATGACGGAGACGCGTCGCAGAACCCCACCTAGTTGTGGCGACTTTACCGGCTGAAGGGGATAATCAGAACATTTCGCCTCTTCTGTTACACCAAAAGATCGGCATACTCGCACTTCCTTGCCGTGTTGCCACCTTGTCCCTGAATTTGCCACTCAGATCCCGTGAACGCGCGATCGTTCCTTTGTATCGGCGCGGGAGTGCCAGGGGTATTTCGCCATTGACCCATCGTTGCACTCACACTCATTCTCACATCTCCATTCCTTTATCGAGGTTCACCGTCGCTCTTTCGCCTTTTTCGGATTTTCCGTCTACCACAACTTCCAATCTTTCCTCACAGTCGCAGTTGCCTATCTTTCCGTAATCACTATTACCATGGCGCTGCGGCGATCCACCCGCAAGTCAACCAACAGCGTCGCCAACGATGTCGCCCCCGCAAGCTCGCCCGTTCCTGCAGCTAGTATGTGCAAGCTGCTCTGGGCAAACACTTTGTTGATTGCCTTGCATCGTTTGTGGCGCTGACATGTTTGTAGAAATGAAAGATTCCTCAGCAGTGGATACTCGCCACCAGCAGAAACGCACTCGCGCTTCTCGCACCTTTGTTCTGAATTCCTCTGACCAAGAGAGCGATACGACTGAAGCCATTGTACCCAAGGCATCTACACAAACTCGTCGGGTTCTCAAGGCAGTCTCGATCCCCGCTTCCAAAACTCAGAAGACGCCTGCCACTCGCAGTCGGCTCTCTAGTGTCAACACCCGACAGACAGAACAGAAGAGCTCGACTGGTTCACCTTCGCTAGATAATTCAGACTATGAAACGCCAGGGACGAGCATATCAACTACACCAGCTACTTCAGTTAACCGTGGAAAGATGCCCGCTCGCCGTGGCCGCAACACGGCCACTACACCGTCGCAAAGCAGCGCATCGATCTCGAAACGATCCCGTAACATGGTACTAGACTCTGAATCTGATAGTGTTACACTTGATATGGATGCGGAGATTGCTCTACAAATGCAGCTCGAGGACGAAATGGATATGCCGCGAAGCAAGCGTCAGAGGACGGAAGAAGAGGATGAAGAAGATGAACATGAGGACGAAATTTCAGAGTTAGATGAGTTGGACTCGCCACCTCCCTACATCGGCAAAGGAAAAGGCAAGGCTCAAGACGTTCCGATCAAGCGGGGTCGCTCTGCTCGCTCAAGTGCGAAGAAGGGCAAATTCACAGAAGATGACTTCATTGATGACGAAGAATCTGATGGCGGAGATTTCCTACCTGATGAGTATGAAGAGCATGATGATCTTGAGTCCTTGATCGCTCTTGAAGAGGCGATGCTTCCAAGCGACAGCGATGAGGAGCCACTAAAGAAAACCGCTGCACGCCTGAGAAAGCTTGCTGCAGCGAGGCCAGCTAGGGTGGCTCGAGGCACTAAGAAGCAGTTGACCCACGATGAAAGGGTTGAAGCACATGGACGACGGGCTAGGTTTGCGCACATTGCGGATAAATGGGAGCGGAAGCGCGCCATGAACCGTGAGCGAGCTGAACAGCAGCACCCCAAACTACGGACCATGTGGGATGATTTGAAGAAGATTCCTGTTCTTGAGGTCCAAAAGGCAGAGCAGCCGCAGTCAATCAACAGGCGACTGAAGCCATTCCAACTTGAGGGACTCAGTTGGATGATTCGCCAGGAACAGACTCACTACAAGGGTGGCCTGCTCGGAGATGAGATGGGCATGGGCAAGACTATCCAGGCTGTCTCCCTGATTATGTCTGATTACCCCGCGAAGCAACCTACACTTGTGTGCGTTCCACCCGTTGCTCTTATGCAGTGGACGAATGAGATACGCGAGTACACAGACAACAAGCTCAAAGTTCTTGTGTATCACGGCACAAACGCCAAGTGCAGAAAGATGACAGTCAAAGAGTTGAAGTCTTACGATGTCATCATGGTCTCCTACAATTCTTTGGAATCGCTGCATCGCAAGGAGACAAAAGGATGGTCTCGCGGAGAAGATATCATCAAGGAAGCGTCGCCACTCCACGCCATCTACTATCACCGCCTCATCCTGGATGAAGCGCACAGCATCAAGTCACGCAACACAGGTGTAGCTAAGGCTTGCTTTGCGCTGAGGAGCGACTACAAGTGGTGCTTGTCCGGTACACCAGTTCAGAACCGTATTGGAGAGTTCTTTTCACTCCTTCGCTTCTTGGAGGTTCGTCCCTTCGCAGATTACTTCTGTCGTTCGTGTGATTGCGAAAAGCTCCACTGGGCTACAAATGACGACCATATGTGTGTCGCGTGCAACCACGGAGCGTCCGAGCACATTTCCGTGTTCAACCAGGAGCTGCTTAATCCCATCACTGGCGATGACCCTGAGCTTCGAGAAGAGGCCTTGACCAAGCTTCACCTTATCACTGCTCGTATCATGTTGCGACGCATGAAGCGCGACCACACCAACTCCATGGAGCTTCCTATGAAGGACATCATCATTCACAACGAGTTCTTCAGTGAAGTGGAGCGTGACTTCTCGACCTCAATCATGTCAAACTCTTCGCGCAAGTTCGATACATATGTTGCACAGGGTGTTATGCTCAACAATTACGCCAATATCTTCGGTCTGATTATGCAGATGCGTCAAGTCGCTAACCATCCTGATCTGCTGCTTAAGAAGAAGGCAGGTGAAGGCGCTGGTAATGTCTATGTCTGTAATATCTGCGATGAACCGGCTGAGGATGCTGTTCGCTCGCACTGCCGCCACGAGTTCTGTCGTGCTTGTATTAAGGACTTCATGGATACTTGCGAGGCCTCAGGAACCGAGGCTGACTGTCCCCGCTGCCATATCGCCTTGTCCATCGACTTTGAGCAGCCCGAGCTCGAGCAAGATGTGGACTCTGTCAAGAAGACATCGATTATCAACCGCATCAAGATGGAGAACTGGACTTCTTCCACCAAGATTGAGATGTTGGTGTACGATCTGTACAAGCTCCGAAGCAAGAAGCAGACGCTTAAGTCGATCGTCTTCAGCCAGTTTACTTCCATGTTGCAACTGATTGAATGGCGTCTTCGTCGCGCTGGTTTCAACACGGTCATGTTGGATGGTAGCATGACGCCTGCACAGCGGCAGAAGAGCATTGACCATTTCATGACGAATCCGGATGTTGAGGTTTTCCTGGTGTCTCTGAAGGCTGGTGGTGTTGCTCTTAACCTGACGGAGGCTTCTAGGGTGTTCATTGTCGACCCGTGAGTCTTATTCTCCCCTGCTAATGTTCAGTCTGCTAATATGTCTGTAGATGGTGGAACCCCGCTGCCGAGTGGCAGTCTGCGGATCGTTGCCATCGTATCGGTCAGCGTCGTCCCTGTGTCATCACACGTCTTTGCATTGAGGACAGTGTTGAGTCGCGTATGGTTGCGCTGCAGGAGAAAAAGGCGGCCATGATTGCTGGAACGGTCAACAATGACAAGGTTGCCATGGATCGCCTTAGTCCTGAGGATTTGCAATTCTTGTTCCGTGGTACCTAACGTAGCTGGAGCGCTATGCAGTATATGGACATGGAGTCAAAAGCCGGTGTCGATCTTCGAAGGCGTTATAATGTGTAGGCGTGCTTCACTCGGAATTCAAGGCGTTTCAATTTCTCGTAAGACAGAGCTATCCAAATAGGCATATATCCATTGTAATTTTCGCACCATATCCCCATCAGTGCAACAAGCAATGATTCCTTAGTAGCAAGTCTGTGATGTGGGAGTAGCCGAACGCGATGCAGATCACCGGTGGTTACCACAGATTAGCGACTATGATAACTGCACGCTAAGACTGTGGTGAACATATGCATATGTACAACACAACCCTGTGTCGCATCTCCGTAGATCAAACAGATGGTAAGACTCTCATTCATTGAGCAAGAGGAGAACACAATCATCAAAAAGTCCTCGAGTTGCGCAAAGTCCCACAGCAACAACGCTGCCATCCGCACACACTCACCATAGAACACCCCTAAAACACCCATCACACCGTCTCACAGCAACAAAGCAACAAAGCAGCAAAGCAAATCCATCACAAAACCCCATTTCACCTATATCCGCAACACCAAACAAATCCGCGGGGACCGAGGAGATGCTGTCACAGTCGCGCGTTTATGGTACGTAATGTTACGTAAACCCAAACTCGCGCGTGAGCCTACCAACTGCGCCATTACCGCCGTTTTGTCGCTGTGCACCACGCGCAGTAGGGCGCGGGTACGACGTCGACAGCGCGAAGTGACGTTTTCTTTGGGGGGAGAGGAGGAGAATTGTAACATGGACTAATTAAATCCGGGTGTCGGAACATGTTGCATAGGTACAAAGTGGTTTGACGGAAAGGGAGGGCGGGGGAGGGCGGGTGAGGCTTCCGTTATAATACCTCTCTATATTTTTTGACTCTTGTCTGACGTTTGTCCTTGTTGTTTGGGTTTTGGGGAAAAAGCTAGCGGTTTTGCGACATATAGTTGGGTGGTTTTCTCGCTCAATCTCTCTTTTCTTCGGTTTTTCGGTGTTCCGAACTGTTACGACGAGTATGGAGAACAAGATGCTTTCGCGCGCCAGGGAGTGGGATTTCGACATTGATCGCTATCTTAATCGCGTTGTTGTTCCGTCACCGTTACATAGGCTTCCGGCTCCCGTATCGAGGTTTCTGGGGTATAGGAAGGAGACGCGGCAGGACGTTGGGAATGTGCTGGGGGCGTTTTGGTCGTTGGTCGGCGCGTTTTGTGGTTTGGCGGTTGTGGCTGGGGTGTTTAACAATACTGGGAGCATTCAGTGGCATCACCCGCCTGCGTTGATTGCTTCTTTTGTGAGTACTCCTGTGTGGAGGTGGCGTTGGTGGCAGACACTAACATACTGTGTATAGGGTGCCTCTGCTGTTCTGGAATACAACTCTATCCGCTCACCTCTTGGTCAACCACGGAACGCCATACTCGGCCATGCATTATCAGCACTTATCGGTGTTAGTATATCGAAGCTTTTCCAGTATCATTCAGATTACGAATCCATCAAATGGATTGCTGGCGCCACAGGTTGCGGCTGCGCATCGGCTGTGATGCTTTTGACCAACACCGTACACCCACCTGGTGGCGCATCCGCTGTGCTGGCAGCCACTGATCCCATCATCACAGCTATGGGCTATTATTTTGTCGGCCTGGTCATGTGGGGTACTACCTTGATGGTGATAGTCGGACTGATCATAAACAACATTCAGCGACAATTCCCGGTTTACTGGTGGACGCCACTGGATGTGCGCAAGGCGAAAGTCGAAGACGAGGAAGTAGTTCCGGATGCAAGAGGCGGGATAGAACGAAAGAAGACCATTGAAGAGCAACATTATGATCAAGATGGCGACCGCATCGAGATCAACGGCGCCGAAGTCATATTACCAGATGACATGAGCTTGAACGCGGAGGAGACTGCAGTATTAGAAAGGCTGCGAGAGCGGCTGAGAAAGAGGACTGATTCAGAAAGGGGACAAATATCAGAGAAAGAAGACACAGACAGTGGAACGTGTAGTACTCGTGTGCCGAGCTGCAGTGAGACTAGGAGCAGCCGTTCTGGTATATAGTGTTTGGGCTTATCATGGCGTGGAGTACAGTATAGATAAGAACAACTGGGATTTCCGCAGTTCCGAGGAGTATCCCCCACAAAGCTGCACCATCCCAAAGTTGAGATTCTTTATAATGTTTCGTTTTTCCGCATTTTAGTTCGCGTTCTTATCAAATGTGCATACTTCTACCTTTTCTATGCCTCCTACTTTGCTATTGGCCGACAAGAGTTTTACTTATGTCTGCCATTTCCCAAGGAATGCTGGAGAGGGGCTGACTGATCCTGTGCCATATTTCAGGCGTATGCAGAAGAGCTTTCGAAGGTCAAAGCATTTCAGTGCAGTAACTCCCATCAAAAAGCCTGTCGTGATGTCTCTTGATGTGCATGGGTGAGTCTGACCTGGCACATGCAGCCATGCCAGCGCCTTAGTTGCCCTATGATGCGTAGTGGGGGAGCGTTCATTGGCCGTGCGCGGCCTTCGCCACAAGTAAGAAAATTGATTCGCAAGGCTTTGTTGTTTGAGCCACCGTTGTCGATTGCCATCTTTTGATCTTTTCACATCCATCACTTGCACTTGCTTCCTTTCTTCTACACTGCATTTTCCGTCTCTTCCAGTCCCTTCATTTCCAGTAGAGACGCGTTGTGCCTTGACCGGAAACCCAAACGATCAGGCTTGGGCATTATCGATAAGAGGCTTAGCGGGGCACAAGATTGGCCCTTGATCCCAACCCTACGAAATTTCCTTCTCTTCACCTCCACCATCCCCGAGTCCCTTCCCCTGACGCCATATTAAGACATCATGGTCTCTGCGTCCAAAGCCGCCCGTCAGGCAAAGCGCGCCGCCGATGGCGACGCCAAGCCCAAGAAGTCGGCCACTTCCAAGTTGTCGTCCAAGGCCAACTCCAAGAATGCCTCCAAGGCCAACTCTGAGAATGGCGACAACCCCGAGGATCTTGAGCTGAACGAGGAAGTTCAGAAGCTCACTATGCAACAAGATAAGCATGGTCTGTCTGACCGTGTAACCACTGGTGTGCTTGCCTCGCTCGAGCAGTCGCGCGATGTCAAGATCATCTCTGCGTCGCTCGTGTTCCACGGCAAGGTTCTTTTCAACGACTCCACCATCGAGATCAACTACGGTCGCCGATACGGTCTGTTGGGTGAGAACGGTTGCGGAAAGACGACGCTGCTAAAGGCCATCGACAAGCGCGAGTTCCCCTTCCCAGAGCACATCGACATCTACCTGCTGAACCAGGGTGCTCCCAAGACTGAGTTGGGTGCCTTGGACTGGGTCGTCCGTGAGGCTGAGACTGAGCTGGCTCGTCTCGAGAAGATGGCTGAGGACATTCTTGAGAAGGACGGCCCTGAGAGCCCTCTCCTCGAGGATATCTACGAGGTACGTTGTAGTCGGATAATCACATTTTGACCCCCACTAACTAGTCAACAGCGTCAAGAAGATATGGACCCATCCACCTTCCACACTCGCGCTTCCCTCATTCTTACTGGTCTTGGTTTCAACAAGGTTACCATCAACAAGAAGACAAAGGACATGTCCGGTGGTTGGCGTATGCGTGTTGCACTTGCCAAGGCTCTTTTCGTCAAGCCTGCTCTGCTCTTGCTCGACGACCCCACTGCCCATTTGGATCTCGAGGCCTGTGTGTGGCTTGAGGAGTACATGAAGAAGTGGGAGCGCACTCTGGTTCTTGTTTCCCACTCCATGGACTTCTTGAACGGTGTCTGCACAAACATGATTGATATGCGTCAAAAGAAACTCCTCTACTACGGAGGTAACTACGATGCTTACCACAAGACCCGTTCCGAGCAGGAGGTCAACCAGACCAAGGCCTACGAGAAGCAGCAAGACGAAATCAAGCACATCAAGAAGTTCATTGCTTCCGCTGGTACCTACGCCAACTTGGTCAGGCAAGCCAAGTCTCGCCAGAAGATCCTGGACAAGATGGAGGCCGACGGTCTCATCGAGCCCGTTGCTGTTGACAAAGTCTTTACTTTCCGCTTCGCCGACGTTGAGAAGCTACCACCCCCTGTGCTTTCGCTTGACGATGTCACCTTCTCTTACTCTGGAGATCCAAAAGACAACCTGTACGAGAACCTCGACTTTGGTGTCGACATGGACTCGCGAACAGCTCTTGTCGGACCCAACGGTGTTGGAAAGTCAACGCTGCTCAACATCTTCACCGGAAAGCTCAGCCCTACATCTGGTGTTGTATCGCGCCATACTCACTTGAAGCTCGGTGTTTACAGCCAGCACTCTGCTGAACAGCTCGACCTCACCAAGTCTGCCCTTGACTTTGTCCGCGACAAGTTCCACCACATCAGCCAGGACATCCAATACTGGCGTCAACAGCTCGGTCGCTATGGTATGACTGGTGAGGCACAGACGTCCAAGATGGCTACTCTGTCCGATGGTCAAAAGTCTCGTATTGTCTTCGCTCTGCTCGCTATCGAGGGCCCCAACATGTTGCTTCTTGACGAACCTACCAACGGTCTGGATATCCCCACTATTGACAGTTTGGCTGATGCCATCAACGCCTTCAGCGGTGGTGTCGTCGTTGTTTCTCACGACTTCAGGTACGTTCATTCTCCCAGAGATATGTTTGTTCGACATGCTAACCTCAAAACAGATTGCTCGACAAGATTGCCAAGGATATCATGGTTTGCGAACACAAGACTGTCCGTCGGTGGGATGGTACTATTGGCGAGTACAAGGATCACCTTCGCAAGAAGATGGCTTCAACTGGTGCTCTCTAAATGGATAATTCGGAATTGGTTTAGAAAATGCATGTGTCCTTTGAGCAGCGGGGCGCGGGTACATAGCTAAAAGTAATGGCCTTAGAGCAGGTTTGAGATACCTCTGCAGTAGGCCGGCAGCTCATCGCTACCTGCGTCAGTGTCTCTGTACGAGCAGAGACATCTGGATTATGTGTTATGATGCATTGGGTTTTAGAGGAGTTTTAGAGTTGCCTTGCAATGAAATCATATCGCATACATGTCTTGATAAATTCTGTGAACTTTGCAGCATGTACTTAAAACGTAGAAGTAAGTTGTTGATATGACGTGATTGTAACTCGGAATGCAACGGACATAACAGGAGAGCATGGACAAGTAGTAGTGGGCCTGCACGTGCCGGTCTGCGAACTATGAGCTGTGACGAGCATCCCCGCAAGTTGACCTCCGCGGTGGAGCTTGAACATGGACATCCTCACATTAGCCACTCGTTGGTAACCTTGGTTCAGCAATTTCCCACCGGATTCAAAGAGCCCTAGATCCTCTGGGGTATCTCACTACATTCATTGTTTACTCACAGCAAACATCAGGCCGCCATGGCAGAGCTCACGAGCACGAAACTCAATGCCGAGTCGCATCTCTTGCTCGTATGTCCGGTTAAATTACGCGCAAGATGGCACTCACTAACTCACAATTCCAGGACCAACCTCTCCTCCGCATGCCATATGAGCTTTCCCGGCGCAACTTTAAAAACGCCCAGCGCGTCATCGAGCACTCCTCGACCGCCCTGCCCACCGCCCTCAGCGCAACCGCAAAAGCCGCAAACAAGAACGCCTCCCCAGAGGCAACCCTCTCCTCGCTCGACTCCCTGATTACCAAAATGCAAGGCCTAAAACGCAAACTCGAGGGCCTCCACGAAGAAGAAAACCGTCTCCACCGCGCTGCCAAAGCGCGCCTGCAGCACCTACAAGACCTCTACCAAGTCCAGAGTCTCGTCGACGTCAAATACGACGAATGGTCGCGCACACGACTTAGCAGGTTACTTGTCGACTACCTGCTCCGGGAGGGATATGCCGAGAGCGCAGCATGCCTTGCGCAAAGCAAGGGGATCGAAGATCTAGTCGATGTAGAAGCATTCGTAGCATGTCACAAGATCGAGCGGAGCCTCCGTGAGGGCATGAGTACGGCGCTGGCACTCGAGTGGTGCAAGGAACATGGCAAGGAGCTCAAGAAGGGAGGAAGCATGCTGGAGTTTGAGTTGAGGTTGCAGCAGTATATTGAGCTTGTGAGGCAGGGGCATGAGGCCGGATTGAGTGGGATGGATGGGTTGGAGGGGGAAGAGGGGGGTATGCACGGTGTTAGTATTGGTCGTGGTGAAGGAGGAGGAGGAGAAGCAAAGTTAGTGGAAGCCAGGGCGCATGCGAAGAAGTATCTTAGTGCGAGTGGGGATTTTACGCTCATGAGACAGGCGGCGGGTATGTTGGCGTATAGGCCGTGGGATGAGGTGGAACCGTATGCTGTAAGTTTTCTCTTCTTCCCCTCAAAGAGAGAATCAACGCAAATTAACATTGCCTAATCTAGTCTCTCTACTCTCCCTCCCGCTGGTCCTACCTCGCAGACCTCTTCGTCTCGACACATCACACACTATACTCGCTTCCGCCTCGCCCCCTCCTCCACATCGCCCTCAGCGCAGGTCTTTCTGCCCTCAAGACACCAGCCTGCCACTCCGAATACATTCCCTCAGCTACAAACGCCGCCTCGTCCGCTACAACTGTCTGCCCTATTTGCAGTGCTGAGCTCAAAGAACTAGCGCGCAATGTGCCGTATGCGCTGCATACCAAGAGTATTGTTGAAGATGCGCCGGTTGTGCTGCCCAATGGCCGTATCTATGGCTCTGAGAAATTGCGTATTTTCAATGAGAAGGTGGGGACGGAGCCAGGATTTGTTAGGGATCCTGTGGCTGGGCTGACGGGGGAGAAGTGGAAGGAGAGTGAGGTGCGGAAGGTGTATATTATGTGATTTGTTGTTTCTTTTCATTTCTTTCTTTCCTTGGAGGAAGAGGTTCGGTCTTTGTTTGCTACGGAGGTTATATGCGCATAGCGGGGCGTTTTTCTTTTTCGGTTTATCGTAGCGGGATGCCCCGGCGTGGGTTTTAGTCCTGCCTGTATTGGTGGTACGGTCTTTTTCTAGTCATGACGGGTATCTCAATTTTTAGGATGAGATTCATAGCCTCAATCATCGTCTTCCTCAGCTTCCTCCTCTTCAACGTCATCTTCTTTCTCCTCCCCCTGCAAAGCCGCCTTCATCGCCTCCTTCTGACTCGGTAACCTTCCCCCCCTCGACACCTTAGCCAGCCTCTCCATCTCCTTCTCCTCATCGCTATCAGCCACAAGCGGAATCTTCTCAAACACATACATCCTCGCCTCGCGATCTTCCCCTTTCCACCCACCACCTCCCTCCAGCGCCCCCAGCGTGCGAACGTGATGGTACCCCGGATACTGCTCCCAGTCGAACTTCCAGCTCTCAACTACCCTTAGCCCAACATGCCGTGCTAGATCGCGGATATTCCACAAAGTGTACGGTTCACCCTCAAAAAGAGTAACTATTATCTTCCCACCCATACGAAGAAACGGTTTAACATTCTGCTTGTTCTTCTGTTCCTGTTGTTGAGAATCACACTGAGATTGATGATCTCTCTTCCTCTTCCTACTCTCCTCCTTCTCCCTCTTCTGAGTCTGTAGAATATGCAACCTGCGCTTCGCATCTTTGGTATCAATACACGACTTGAAGAATTCAACAAGCAGCGCTTGGTTCGCGCGGACTTGGCGATTCACATCTGTACTGAGACCTCCCGTGTGGGGGAACATGAAGGCGATGGTGTCCCAGCCTTCCTCGTCATCGTCGCCATCGTCGCGCTTGCAGCGGAGATGCTTGTAGGTTGAGAGTTTTGTGGCGTCGATGGAGTGGAAGAGCGGGACGGGGGGTGTGAGGGAGGAGAGCTCGGTGGAGATGGGGATAAAGGTTGGGTATTTGGCTGAGACGTCTTCGCGCGAGTCGTAGCTGGTGGCTGTGACGTTTGCGCAGCCGTGCTCGATGGCGAGGGAGCGCGTGAAGCTGAAGTCGCCCTCGCCGACGAGGAGGATGTGGTCGTATTCGCCAAAGGGTATGGCGTGTTTCCGTTGCGAGGGTTGGACGTGAGCGGGCTTGGTCGCTGGTGGTGCGTCTTTCGCGCCAGTCGAGTTCATCTTTTGCTTCTTCTTTGCGGGTGGTTTTGTCGCGGCTTGTTTTGTTTCTGCGGCTTTTGCTGCTGCCTTGCGGTGGTGCGCTGCTATTTTTCTCTCACCCTCGCGCTTCAATTCCCGGCGCGCGCGCTTCGTTTTTGTCTTGGACATGTCGGCTATGTTCGAGGTTGTTCTCTGTGCTTCCGCAATTGGACGCAACTCGGAGGTTTGCGGGGAACTTTTGGAAAATTATGAGCTTGGACCATCACCTATCAAGGGTTTGAATGTGCATGTGAAAAGAGGGACGGAGGTATTTTGTGAATCAACGTTTCAATCCATAAGTCTCTGAGAAAATGATACAGACATCTGCACGACCAGATGATACATCTAGATGCGAGATGATTTCAATTGCTTCAACTACAATGTACAATAGACCTCCATGCGGCTACCACAATTCGTAAGCCTGCACACCTTGAGAGTTTAATGAAACATTACAATTTCCTCCTATATCAGGTCGCGCTTGACGAACTGGTCGTACAGAGTGGCTCCGAGCTTGGCAGGGGAGCGCTCGACAGTAACACCGGCGGCCTCAAGTGCGGTGATCTTGGAGTTGGCATCACCCTTACCACCGCTGACAATGGCACCAGCGTGACCCATTCTCCTGCCTGGTGGGGCAGAGATACCAGCAATGAAGCTAACAACAGGCTTGTTGGCGGTGTTGTACTCCTTCAGGAAGTCGGCAGCGTCCTCCTCAGCAGAACCACCAATCTCACCAATCATGATGATACCGTCGGTCTCTTCATCCTTGAGGAAGACGTTCAGGCAGTCAATGAAGTTGGTACCAGAGAAGGGGTCACCACCAATACCAACAACGAGGGACTGACCAAGGCCGGCTTGGGTAGTCTGGTTGACAGCTTCGTAGGTAAGAGTTCCGGAACGAGAGACGATACCAACGCGGCCGCGCTTGTGAATGAATCCAGGCATGATACCAATCTTGCATTGACCCTAGTAAAGTCAGAAGGCTATCCAGGTACGTGGGTGGGTGGATGGGGGACATACGGGAGCAATGATACCGGGGCAGTTAGGGCCGACCATGCGAGACTTGCTCTGGGACTTGAGCATATCTGTGATGCGCACCATGTCTACTTCCGTCAGTCACTGAGTTTTTCCTGAAAGACTTGCTCATACGTACCGTGTTGGGGAATTCCCTCAGTGATACTGTTTATTGTAAGTTTCCATGTACCTCAGTTTCCATATGTATACCTACGTCACAATCAGAGGAACCTCGGCGGCAATAGCCTCTTCGATACTCGCGGCAGCGACCGGTGGGCTGCAGCGTGGTTAGGTTTCAAAGGCGACACGAGTCGTAGGCGGGTGAAGCGTACGGAACGAAGATGGCAGTAGCGGTAGCTTGGGTCTCCTTCATAGCATCTGCCACATTCTTGAAGACGGGCAGTCCGAGATGCTGGGTGCCGGCCTTCTTGGGGTTTGTGCCTCCAACAACCTTTGTGCCTAACAAAGTGTCAGACCTGTCCCCCGCAATATCAAAATGGCCTTTTGGCTAGTCGCATACCGTATTCAATTGCCTGCTGTGCGTGGAAGCTGCCCGTGTGTTAGTGTTACCTTTTGCTTCAGCCTCTTCTGTTCCTACTTACGTTCCCTGCTTTCCAGTGAAACCCTGGAACAGAACCTTTGTGTCGCTGTTGATGCGAAGGTTCTTAATCGTCTCGGCATACTGCGAGGAAGCGGTCGCATACTGCCTGGTTGCGGCCTTTGATAGCGCAGAGCGCAGGGGTTGTCGGATAGACTGCATCGTGACTGATGAGTGGCCACGAGAGCAAATCTGGGGTAGTGAGAGGGTATCGCGGGATTGATTTGGTGGTGGTTGACAGTCTGGGAGAAGCTGCGACACGCCGGGGGTTCTTCGGTGGAGGAGCTTGGCCAACCCTAAAATCTCGTGCCAGGGTCCGTCCGCGCCCGACAACATCACGAAAATAACTCGTTTGTCTACGGCCGCAGAGCTGCACCGGCTGGATGCACCCACTGTCCGATTGCCAATGTGCCGAGGTCTTTAGTATCTGCAAGAATTGTCTGTATTTTCAACTTCATCGGAAGTTAATAGCACATTCCATCAACAACATGTCAAGTGTCCACGAACTGCGCTGTAACGCTTCAAGTATCACATCTCAAGTTGTTCAGAATCCGTGCGCAATGGCCGGATCGACGTTCTCTTGCAATCAGCTTCAAATTGGCTAGGACGAAAAAATCTCGGTGGACTAGTCAATTTTCAAATGTCCAGTAGGAGACTCAAATGGAAGTCTGGCTCATCACAGTGGTCAAGAGGATTGCGGAATGAATTTCGTGTGGCAGCCAGCATGGCTGTATTTTACATTTACTACATGTCTTGTACACGGCCGGGAATAGACCTGCATCTAGTCGTTAAGTTTTCCGTAAAATGGAATACCAATGGCTTGAAGAAGGAGACGGGCGTCTTTGTTGCTGGTGGCATCGGTTTGGATGGTAATATGGCAACCGGGAATCATCTTGGGAGGATAGCTAGGTTGTGTCAGTACAAGGTGACTCGACCGCGGCAGGTACAGCAGGAGACTCACGCGTCATAGTTGACCTCGATCTCGGGAAAGAGGGCAACTTGGTCCGGGGTAAGACCAAAGCTCATATTGCCGTGTCCATCACCAGATGAACCGGGCACGCCCTTCCACTCCTTGATCCTCGGCAGCACCACGTCGATCAGCTTGGCCAAAAAATTGTCGGCGTCTTCCTGTTCCATGGTAGAGGTGACTGCGACATATCTGCCCTTTCGCAGTCCCCAGCCGACTACGTTGTGCCTTGCCTTGTGCGAAATTGCTCGCACATTGCTAATGGCTTGCAGCACCATGCCGGCAACATGCAAATTTCCGCTGTTCTCTTGGGCTTCTGGCACCATGGAATGTACGACGACCTTTGTGATTTTGGGCACATTGCGGAATGTGCGGGGTTCTTGGAGCAGGCGGAGGACTTCACCCTTGCCTCGCGGGGGCCGCAGTGGGCGATTCTTGAAGTAGGGCGAGTCGCCAGTCCATTCGCGCAACCGCTGTTCGGTCTTGGGGGCCCGGTAGCCTGGGGGATAGTGCTGGTATGTGAGGGTGAGCAGGTCTGAGGCGATTTTGCTCTGGTACGTTTGCTCGAGGCGCGACAGACTGAAGGGCCCCGGCTGGAAGAGTCGCGATGCGGGATCTGACTCTGGCGGGGGCTGGTGAGGGTGGAGTGGACCGCGATAGTACTTGGGCGAGCGATATTGGTACCTGTGATGGGTGAGGAGGGATTCCTTGGTCATGCGGCGGGGACACGGTACCTGCTAGGCGGCAGCTGCTTGTTCCCTCTCCTCCGCAGCCGACTCCTCGCTACCGGGTCGAAATCCTTGACCAGATCTGCTGGCGGTGGTGGCGTGTGGAGGGAGGATGCGTCCTCAATTTCTGCGAGTGCTTGGGACGAGGCATTGCGGGCGAGGGCGGGCAGGGCGGGCAGGGCGGGGCGGAAAGCCGGTCTGGCGGAGTTTCCCAAGGCCACGGCGATGCGCAGCGGCAGGTCACGCATGGCCATGACGACGTCGGGAGAAGGCGTGGTGGGTGATTGTCGTCCGTGATAGCAGCAGCATGGCCCATGTCAAGTCTCCAGCGGACTTTTCCAGGCCATGCGCTATACGCTATACGCTAGACGATGAAGACTGCAGGGATCGCCTACATAATCGTACCGCCAGCCAGCTAGGGCCCGCTCTGGTAGCCAATAGGGCAGCCCCACCTAGAGGCACCTGGCTACGATAACGGCCACCAGCTCCTGCGCGGCTGACGGTCGCTGGTACACTCGACCATGTCTGGTGCTTCTTTGTCTCCTTGTGCTTCTTCCTATGCCGCCACTCGCCGTGCTGCTTCGTCGTTGCCTGCGTCCCGCGGCACGGCGTCATCCCGTTCCTTGGCTGCGCCTCGTCTGTTCCTTCCTCTAACTGGCATCAAGCCCGTCTGCCCCGCGACTTATCCATCACCCTGTCAACCTCCACATTCACCACCACCACCCACCCTTCTTCTGCATGCATTCTCCCATTGCCTACCACCTCCGCCATCATGAACGGCGTCTCGCGATTTCTTAGCCGGCGTGACAAGCACGGCGAAAAGCGCGCCTCCAAACACGCAAAATCAAAAGTACGCCCGTCCTCTTTCGCTTCTATTTGCTTGCTCGACTCCCCCGCCCCTGCGCCATGCTGCACCGTCCGTCTGCCGTCGCCTCCCCGGACGAGCCCCCGGCGGCGACTGTCGGCTGGTGTTCAGACACTGTATCATAAGCTCCCATTTGTATTGTCGCATTCTCTAGGCGACAGTCTTCTATTACTGCACACTTCAGCGCCAGGTCGACCTCTTCACTCACCCACTACCATTCAAGACCCTCTCACCCCCTCTTCTGACCATATGTCTCTCCAGTCTCAAGCCCAAGATACTCCGCTCGATCTCTACAGAATATTCACCAGCGAAGGGCCCAGGCCGCCCGCAAACGACCATGCCGAGAAAAAAGTACGTCAAGAGACACGACTGCACGCACTCTCATTGACCATGTACAGGTCAAGATGCTGCTTACCCGGCTCCACGGTTCAGGCATAACAAAAATGGCAGAGGAACAAGCCGAACACGCCCTCGCTTGGTACCCGGATGACCTCGACAAGGCCTACGATCTCTTAGTCCTTGCCAACGAATCGCTCGAGGGCGAACTGAAGGACTACAACCCCAACGTTCCCATGCTGGGCGCCATCAATCGGAACATGGTGACATGCTATCTAGATGCGCTCCTCTTTGCCATGTTTGCGCGTCTTGATAGCTTTGAAGCCATGTTGTATGACAATTTTGAGGATGAGCCCCGGAAGAAACTGGCCGCTGTCTTGAGACTATGGGTGAACCTGTTGCGCACAGGCCAGCTTATCAGAGTCGACCTGGTATGGTCTATCCGCACCACCGTCACTTTCGTAACTAATGACCATCACAGACAAAGCATCTTCAGGATTCGCTCGCACGATGTGGCTGGGAAGATGCGGCGCAGGTGCGGCAGCAGGACGCATCCGAAGCTTTTACATTCATCACAGGCGCACTTGAACTGCCACTCCTTACCCTAAAGATGGACATTTATCATACTGGGCGCGAAGATAAAGAAGACGACCACAAGTTTGTAAACGAACGACTCCTGGAAGTTGCTATCCCAGAACCAGAAGAAGGTCGTATCGTTACGCTCGAGGACTGCTTAGAGACCTATTTCAACAACAGAATCGAGGTGAAGCGCTACCTGCAACGGCAAAACACGATTGCCACCATAAGATCAACCAGGGATGAATTCACAGGCAAAGATTCTGAGAAAAACGAGTCGATACACATCGAAACTGCAGAGATGGACACGCCAATGACTCCAATTGTCTCATCTCCCATATCGCTGGAGCCTACAACCCCTTTGGCACCAGTTCGACCTGAGCTAGAAGGCCGTCGCCGTGCTGATAGCATCTTCGGTAAGCGCTACTTGCGCCAGCCTCCTGAAGCCCAAACGTTCGACGAGAAGAAGCATGTCGAGGATATGCTAGACAACAGCTCTGGCGGTCGACCCCGCTCAGCTTCTCTACTTAAGAAGGAGATTCTCATGCCAGCATGGCAGTTTTTCAGTCTAATTCGTAAGTCGAATTTTGCCGCCAATATATGTGGTGCTAACAATTTTGGTAGCATGGTACACGGACAACGTACCAAGGTCGGATGCGCAGGTTGCAGCGCATTTCTCTGCAAAACGCCCTGTTCTCGGAATATGTCTGAAGCGATACACTATGAACCCAAATGGCACCCCAAAGCGCCTCGATACATATATCGACATTCCACTTGACATTGGCTTGCCCCATTTCATTTCCGACGAAAGAATGAAAGAAGAGGGTCCATTATTCGGCAATTTCAAGCTAGTGCTACAATCGGTCGTCTGCCATCGAGGTGTATCAGTGGATTCTGGTCATTACGTTGCACTTGTTCGTGCCAATGCTCATGGGAGGCCCGGAACTGCTAATTCCGAATCTGACGAAGAAGAAGCGAAATGGCTACGGTTCGACGATCTTTCAAATCAACGAGTCACCGAGGTCGACATTGAGCAAGCTCTGCGCGAAGAGTCGCCGTATCTCTTGTTCTACCAAGTACAACCTATTGATGAAGAACTGGCTTCCAGAGGTGATCCCCCAACCTACGCAGAGGCGCAGTCCAGAATCCCGTCTGCAGATCCATCCCGTGAAACGCTGGCCTCTGTGCCCTCTACTACTGCAACAGATGTCGATACTACTGGCGACTGGGAAAAGATTAGCGTGCCTGATGCGCATACTGAACCAAATCGCACGGACGAGCCAGCCAGTCGGAACAGCACTTCCAGTAATTGGCGGACCAGCATAACCATTGACGACGGCGAAGGGAGCCTTCGTGGACGAACCCAACCGACAACCCCAGCTGAAGATAAGACCGGCTTCGTATCTGTTTCCCGACGCGGCTCACGTATATGGATGTCCGGCGCTGGCAAAAGTCGGCCGGGTAGTCCAAGTGGCGAGAATCGATTGTCCATTACTCTGTCGCGGCTGACAGGCCGGGGCAGCAATAACAAGTTGATCACGACAGAGGTTATTAGTACTGGCGATGAACCTAGTGTTGTAACTGACAAGGCCATAAGCCCTGAGGGCAGCCAAAAATCACCGTCTCCGGTCAAAGAGAAGAAAGAATCTGGAATTTCACGAAGCAAGAGCAAAAAAGAGAAGAAGGACCGGATGAGGAGCAAGAGTAGAGAGCCTGGTGCGGTCCTGGACAAAGGTAAGTCAAAGGGAAAGAATAGGCCGGATCGCGAATGCGTTGTAATGTGATTGCTACAAGGTCTGGTTATTGGTTGGCATTGGTTGCATTGGGACAGGGGTGGCTATGAGGTTGACACCGGAGTTTTTGATATTTTAGCGTGGCGTTCGGGAACAAACATGGGTTCATGTGGATTGGGTACCAAGGGTGTCAAATAGGCATCGGTTTGCATACACATCCACAGGACTATTATAGATAAGATACCCTAAATTCAAGTAGAGCCAGAGCGCTGGCAGACTGCCAGACCTCGATATTTTTTGCTGCACTTGTGAAACCTGCTGTACCGAAGGAAACTATCGCTATACTGTTGTGAACTAGGAATGTGTTCTGAGAAGACTTTGGACGAGCCTAGAAGGGTGAAATCCAATTGAGGTTAACCCGCCGCCGGCAACCTGGCCTCTTGGGTCGCGCTAGGGTTATCCTCGCCCACCACAAAAGTCGCCCGCTCATCCCTTCGGCTTCTCTCCCACGTTTCGCGCCACAACACCTCACCTCTCTTCTAGGACTTTTTATAATCCTCTGCCGAAGCGCTCCTTACCTAGCCACCTCGATTCATTCACCCCAACTCTCACAATGGCTATCAACCCACAAATGTATGCATCCCCGGCCTCCGAGGCTGTTGAAGACAGTTTGCTAATCCTCGCCGCAGTTCCAACCTGGTCATCATCCTGTATGCTCCTCTCTAGCCTTTTCGCACCCGCAGCAGATCAGAAATCTAACACATATGCAGGGGATTCATGCAAATCTCAAAAAAGATTCCGTTTGATGACCCCAACGTACTCAACGGCGTGCGCGCACTCTACATTGTCTCCAACCTGATCATCGCGGGCATCTACCTCTACGTCCAGACGCAGATCAACAAGAAGAATGGTGCGTCGCTCCACAGTCGCAAACACTTTTGATAAGGAGGAAAGAGGCTAACACACGTGGCGCAGACATGACCGTCGTCAAATACGTCGAGCCCGCGCCAATGGGATCCGGCGAGGAACCCAAATTCGTCGCTACAACCGTCAAGGCGTACGATCTCGGCAAGCTGCGCGAGCTCTTCAAGGCCCAGGCCATGGGTGTCGGCATGATGTGCGTTATGCACCTTTACTTCAAATACACCAACCCGCTCCTCATCCAGTCCATCATCCCCCTCAAGGGCGCGTTCGAGGGAAACCTCGTCAAGGTTCATTTGTTCGGACAGCCGGCAACTGGTGACCTGGCCAGGCCATGGAAGGCTGCTGGCGGTATGATGGGTATGGGTGCTGGTGAGATTAAGACGGACAAGAAGAGCATTGAGGCTGCTGAGCGCGCTGGACGCGGTGGTGTCAAGGATGAGTAGGCTGGTTGCATGATTCGCATAGTGCCATGTGGTGTCTAGATTATTTAGAAGTCGCTGCTGGTATCTTGGACTGTCAAATTTCGGAACCCCCCGGATAGGAGCTTACTGTTATCTTGTACAACACTAATGAAACTTTTCAGCCTATCCCTTAATTCTTTTGTTCGCCTTTTGACTATGCGTATTGTGAACGTTATTGCGGGGTGTATTGACAAAAAGAAAGGAAAGGAAAGAGATAGACAATGTTAGTCAGCATTGTGTTTGTCGTCCATGGGGAGTAGTCCACTCTAAACTCTAACCATAAGACCAAGAGTAAAGTCCTATCTCAAACATGAATTAAGTTTCATCCATTAGATTAGTAAATTCCACCTCTTCTATCAAACATGCACACTGCCGTCTCTGCCATCTCCTCCCATATTAACCCCATACCAAACGTCGTAACTATTCCAAACCCCAACATTCCTCATCTCCGTACTCGTACCAGTTCACCCTCTTACATTTATCCCGCTCATTTCTTATATCACACCTCTTTCTTACGTCGTGTAATCTGTATCCACACAACCAACATGATTCACTTCTTTGGACCAAGGGCAAATTGGAAATTTTGGAAAGTGGGGGGTTGAGATGCGAGATAGGTTTTTTGTTTTTTATTACCTGTGTATCGACTATTTTGAAGGAAAGGGGTGCTTGGGGGAGATGGATTGGATTGCAGCATGTATGCATTGTGATGCGGTATCCAGGTCGAGTGAGTGGTATATACTGGAGGTTTGGAACTTTAGGGGTTTTTTTTTCTTTCAATGCTGGGGTTTTTAAGAGTTAAAAGAGGTGTAGGGATTAAGTGTATTGTGCACGCAAAATACGAAGAATATCCAAAGTACCATGTAGTATACGTTAAGACGCTCAAAACACCAAGTTAAGAAAGTGTACATAGTGGGAGGTTAGAAATGGTGATGGTAGCAGAAAAAATATATATTCTTGATATTCTAATTCGTCTGATTGAATGGCAAATTTGGTATTTGCAACATAAAAGTTATATACGCTGACTCCAAAATAGGGAGTTGTCTGGAAAAGAAATCCCATGTTTGGTCGAATGCTCGGTCCCCCTATAGCCGAGCCTGTTACAATTACAGCTGTCTTACTGTAGAAAATTGCGGTGTGAGTTCTTCCTCTAGCATGCGTAGTGCTTCTTGGTGACGCCGAGAACTCGTCTACGTCTTCTCGACGTTCTCCTCCCCGCTGTGAACTGGACTCCCCGGTGACCAACCTTATTTTTGCTAGCACTGGATATGGGTTGAGAGCCGGAGAGTAGATATCATGTGTTCTGGTCTCGTATTCCACTTGTTGACTTTCTTCCCGCTGATGCAACGACGTGTCCATGGCTACATGGGTGGGCTCTGTAGCGTGAAGTTTGGAAAGGCGTATCATAGGATGGCCAGCCAGCTGGGACGGTAATCCAATTCGCCGTACTGTTTAGCGTGGGACTCTTGAAAAGACCACTGCCAACAGGAGCTAAGCGGAGCCTTAATCTGGAATACGATCTGCCAAGCTCATGATGCTTGCTATTGCATACGGTCGGAAAAGCAGAAGAAAAAGGTTGTATGTCATTCGCTAACGTAGTTCAGACTCCTGCTGTCCATTGGGGAAAATAGCCATCTTGCATTGGCATTGCAACAGGCTCGTTCTCGTAATTGAAGGGGTCACCCCAGAAACCCTGTTTTGGTCAGTAATCATATCCTTTTTCACCAGATTACATTGTGAGACTTACAAAATCGAATTCAGGGATGACGTTGGTAGTTGGTTGCATATCTCCAACGATATTGTTAATGTTGTTTATATTGATGTCGTCCCAGACCGGTGCACGGTTTTGGAAATTTGATGTCGAATCCATCATGTCAGGTTGAGATTGTACTGGCGGCGGTTGGGGAAGCGGCTGAGACTGTGGCAGTAGTGTCGGTTGATTGAACGTCATGGAACTGGGTTGGTAAGCATAAGCAGGTATTTCCCCCATTGCTTGATATGGTCCTGTGTTGCTGTTTGGCATAGGGCCCAATGGAAGGGTAGGCATAGTTGCAGACATGGGCGTAGATACAGGCGTAGACGTCGACGTGGATGTAGACGTTGGACCAGGCATAGTCGCAGACGCGGGTGTAGGCTGGCTCATGTACGGATTCAAGGGTTGATTTTGGGACCTAGGCGAAAGGGTGTGCTCGGCTACGGCCTTGTCAATCATGTTCTTGACAGCCTGCCATGCCTTGGCGTTGTTGTTTGCTCGAAGAATGCGCGACATTTGCAGCGCTCTCAAGGCTCGTTGCCGATCTGGGGCATCGAACAGGGGTTTGCGTAGCTCGGACAAGATGTGCATGATAGCTTGGAACGAAGCAATGGCGCCTTGATTTGTTAGCCTTGAAAAATACGAGAAGTGGGTCTGTATACCAATGTGCCACTGGAAGCGAGCGGCGTCAACATCCGCAGCTGCTCCATTGATCGTCTCTACGCAGTTGACAGATTTTTCAAATATCCTAAATCGTTAGTCTCTACTAGTTCTCAACAAGACATAATCAACTGAAGATACGTACGATCTGCGAATGTCATCGGAGAAGACGTCATCACGGTACGCACGCGGCATACGGAGCCAGAAGAACAAGTAAGCGCGCCATTCGAGTAGCGAAGCCAGTCCCAAAGTCAATCGTTCCATTGGTATTTCTGGGTTGAGGAATTGCAAGTACTTCCGATGAGTCTCTTCGTGTACTTGATCGAGCATGACTTTGATCTGATCATAAAGATCCCGCAACTCCTGTGCAGGGTCCGGGCGAGAGGTACCGTGAAGCCCAGAATCGAGCATTCGCCGCTCTAAACGATATGTGCTTTGGACTATGCGCCTCAACGCTCGCACACCGTTGAATCGGACCAGCTGAAACGTCATTGATGTGAACTTTTGCTCGTTGTATGGAGCCTCGCCTGGACTCGCTCCATCGACAAGTTCTTCGTCATCGATATTCCGGGGAAGAAGCGTTGTGTAAAAATCTTCAGTTATGCTTGGCTCTTGACCCTTGCATTCAGCTGCACGAAACTCCAGGTGTCCAAGCTGATGCCACATGCGGCGGCGTTGTTCAATAGTGAGGGCGTCCATTGATCCTGTGGGAAACAATGATGGATCTCGGTGTAATCCCTGATTCAGAGCGATACGGAAAGCTATGCCAACCAACACCCATGCTTTTCCTGATTTCCATGTCAGCTTAGTATACCGACAAATGCTCTATAAGCCTACCCATGTCTTCCTCTCTTGTGATGCATGTCAGCCATAGTACGAAGCCCTGGAATATTTCAAGATCGGATGTTGTTAGGTAATTTTCTCTGGCGAGAGAGATTTCGACGCCCAGTTGGAATCGGTCCAGAAGGGCTTCCTTGGTATCACCAAATCTGGTCTGGACAATTTTGGGAGGCAGTGAATTGATAGCAGAGAAGTAGATGGCGTAGGCAATAGGATGTGCTTCACGGTTATATGTGAAGAATTTGCGCATCACTGTCGGTCTATGCGTGATCCTCACCATGGGGTCTACATTGGTGAAATAGACGTCCAAGAGGATATCGCGGTGCTCTTGGGTGCTAGGTAGTAAGTTTTCAAGGTTGGAGCCTGCGCCCGCGCGGCCCAGTGAGAGTAGATCGACTAAACTGCTTTGTGGAACTTCTTTCTTCTCCTCATCCGTCTTATCGCCTAGTAAAGCCTTGATGTCTTGAATCTAACAAGGGTCAGCACATGCTTGCTCCAGCTGAAGAACGATTACAGAGAGACAACAAATGGCAACGTCTTACTTACCTCGTCAGCAAGCAATGCAAAATGCAGAGATGAGACGAACTGGGATTGTCCACCATTCAGCAAAAGCGTCCCGTCGCCATTGTCAGAGGTGATACCGGCTCCCTGGGAAGTCTGACTGCTGGATGACGGGGTTGAAGCGTCCGTGTCTTTTCTCTCAAAGTCAACGCTGGAGCGCAGAGACGATACCGAGTTGGTCCCCTGTCCAGCGACCGCCTTTTCCAGTAGATACTCGAGTCGATCCAGCCGGGCTTGAACATCATTACTTCTTCCGCCCTTTGCGCCAGTGGCTAGGGTAGATTTGGATATCCTTCCAGTAGCAGTGGGCGCCGGGACCTGATCAGTCCAGGTGCAAGCATGGTTGCCTCGAGTACAAGAGCCACAGACAGGGTGGACATGATCGCATTTGACTTTTCTTCGTCGACATGTTAAACAGGATGAAATCACTCGTGGGCGGCCTCCGGTTTGTTTGGCTGTCGAGCCTGGTGAGTGGCCTAATGCGCCGCCCTTGGTATCGGCCATGACCGTACAAGAATGAAGGATGGTCCTTTACGCAATGCCTAAAGTTTTCAGAGGCGTGGGTCGGTGGACGGGGAAGAAATAGCCCCGCTGCACCGGGTGTCGAGCATGCACCACCGCCCCCACTCGTCTGCGCATCTGGCCAATCTAAGGACTAGCGCGGATCATTGAGGCTCCATTGTCGGCTTGGGCCCCAAGTACAAACTAGACCAACATTTTATCCCTCGGCATGTGCCTCAGAGTGGAAAACCTTAAGTGCCCTGCATGTCACTTGGATACCCCTGAGATCTGATGGCCATTTTAAATCCGTCGAAACTCGTACTGCAGCCGATGTTGTTCATATAACGGGAGCCAATGGCCGCCAAGGCAGCAACTCTAGCATGAACTTTGCTGAAGCATACAACACGACTGCCACGTATCTCGTCATTTCTTGGGCCTCCGAGACATTTCCATGCGTAGAGTATGGTGTCCGCAAAAGCAGACTTGATGATCTCATCCAGCAGGGTTGTAATCACCTTGTATATATACGTCTGTCAACCATCCTTGCCGGCACATGCTGCGTCATCGCCGACTATCCCGAGCTGCCGACGGATAGTCTAAATTTAAGATGTAACGTGCTTATGGTGCCAAGTTCTAGACTGGCATGTCCCCGCTCAAAAACGGACATCTGCCTTTTGTCCGCAGAAAAGCTGCGCATGAGCTGGCACAAAACACCTTACTCACCTGCACATCTCTCTGCAGAGTCAGCGATGCCTGGGCGCAGCTCACTGTATGCGAAAATTAGTCCGCCAACAGACGCATGTAATCTAGGTATGCACTTGGGCGCTGCAACCCTACGAACAAGTCATTTCTATTGGCTCGCTCGTGGGCGGGGAGGAAGCTAAACTCGATTAGTACTACATCTGGTATTGCTGGCTGTGGAATTCCACTGGCTAAGCCCGAATAGGTAAACGACATGCTCCATTCCGCTGGTGGAACTCCTACAGGATCACTGAAAACAGTTGTAGTAGAGTTATGGATTGTAGCAGAACAGGTATATAATAGCTGGTGTCCGTGTGAAAGAGAGATGCATTCAGTCTTGAGATTCACTATTTACAAGTTACAACACATCAACAGAGCGAAATTTGTATACTCAAGCATAAACATCGACCATACAGTACATATCCTCAACCACATCTTCAACCAAACATCAACCCCAACCAAACACTCTACACGCCAATCACAATGGTTCAAAAAGGCCTCTTCATCAACAACGAAGTACATTAACCCCAGACACATATCCCCCCATCCACCCAACTAACACCCCACCAGTACATCAACTCCACCTCCACCGAAACCCTTTCAATCCACTCCCCCCACGATGAATCCCTCGTTCTAGACGGCATCCAAGCCGCCTCCCTCGCCGACGTAGACACAGCCGTCGCAGCAGCCCGCGCCGCATTCCAAGGCGAATGGTCCACATGGACAGCCAAGCAGCGCATGCAAGTCATGTACCGCTTTGCCGACTTGCTCGACAAGCACGCCGTGGAGCTCAGTGCGTGGGAGGCAAAGTGTATGGGCCAGCCGGTCATGATTACGCAGTGGATGTACAAGCTCGGGTCGGATTATTTTAGGTATATGGCGGGTTGGACGGATAAGGTGCCTGGGGAGCAGTGGCCGGAGGTGGATGGGATTTACAAGGTTTGTTGGATCCGCGACTCTTTTTTTGTTGATAGAGAGAGAATATGCTAATGGAGAGATAGATTGTCGAGTATGAGCCTGTTGGAGTTTGTGCCGGTATTGGAGCCTGGAATGGTGCTATGATGTTTTTTGCGCTCAAAGTTGCTCCTGCTGTGGCTACTGGGTGCACGATTGTTTACAAGGGGTCTGAGAAGAGTCCTATCGGACTCATCCAAGTAGGCGAGCTGGTCAAGGAAGCTGGTTTTCCACCGGGTGTCATCAACATCATTACTGGAGATGGAAAAGTAGGTGCTGCTATGGCCGGCCACATGGACATTGACAAGATCGGTTTTACCGGCTCCGTTTTTGCAGGCAAGAAGGTCCAGGAACTCGCGGCCCAGAGGTAAGTTGCTTGATCTGATCAAGTTCAAAAAGTCCAATACTAATGTTTCATCCAGCAACCTCAAGCGTGTCACGCTCGAACTCGGCGGAAAATCACCATCGCTCATCTTTGCAGATGCAGACATTGAAAACGCCCTCCAACACCACAGCCAAAACTTCCTCATGAACAGCGGTCAGGCTTGCGTCGCAGCCAGTCGTACCTTTGTGCAAGAAGACATTATCGACGACTTCATTGCACAACTCAAGATACGTTTCGAGCAACTCAGCAACATTATGGGACACCCCGAGCAGCAAGGCATCATGTACGGTCCACTGGCTGATAGCAAGCAATTCGAACGTGTGATGGAGTTTATCGAGATTGGCAAGAAAGAAGCGTCACTAGTCACTGGCGGAGTACGAAAAGGCATCAACGGGTTTTACGTTGAGCCGACCATTTTCGTCAACCCAGGCGACGATGCTCGCATCTATCGCGAAGAGATTTTTGGGCCAGTCATCACTATCCGCACGTTCAAGACGGAGGAAGAGGCGATTCGCATGGCAAACGATACAAACTATGGCCTGTCTGCTTGCGTGTTCACGGCTTCTGTCCCGCGGGCACTGCGGATAGCCAAGAAGATTCGATCAGGCATGGTGAATATCAACACGTCGCAGACGGCGGGTCTTGAGGCACCCATGGGTGGCTCTAAGCAGAGTGGGCTTGGGAGAGAGGGTGGAAAGGTGGGTTTGATGAGTTATCTGGAGGCCAAGACAATCTGTATAAAGTGAGTATGTCCGCGCTTTTTCCGAGGAATGGTTGGCTAACGAAAAGTAGTATGAATGCGTGAGAGATGATTGGAAACATGACCTAGGGTGGTGGAGTGTTGCATCATTACCGGGTTTGGACAATGGCGTTAAGTGTCTTTGATGTTTGTGTTAGCATTTGAGTTTAGTAGACTAATTTCTGAATATACCGATGACTGTTTGCAATCTAGTTTCTTTTTGCGGTACAGTGCAAGGGAGAAACACGTAAACATGGTACGGATGACCCTCATATCCTTGGAGGCAGTCTAGATTCTTTCGTATCTGAAGATCAGAGCAACGGGATGTCATCACAGCAGCATGCTACCATGGAACCCCTCGACAACGAATGCCGGAACACTGCCGTGCCGGGGGGTCTTGTTGTTTTTTCCTTCTTGAACGTATCCCCTGGTGGCCTGCAGATATCAAAATCAATAAGTGGGGTTGCTTTTCCAACCGTTTTCGGATGGCGTGTCAGTATTGGTCTTAGCGTGCTTGGTGGAGGATATCCAATGGGTTTTGGTCCATGTTCCTGGCCATTCCCAGCTGCTGGAGCTAAGCATATAGCGCCACCTGACTTTGAAACAGCTGGCAGAGAAGAGGACAAAGAAGGCGGCTATCATCTCAAGCCATGACGTTGGCACGAACCTAGCGTGGGCCAGCTAGAGTGTGAAGGCTGCGCGGGGCGAGCCTAGTGGTGGCTGACGCTTGGGACTAATGGTTGAGCTTGGCCGGGGGTGGTAGTTTTGCAAGCAATGCGGACGCAATGTCACTGCACAACCTGGCCGAGGCGAGTGACATGTAGCTGTGAATGGCAGCTGGCGTGGGTAGTGATAAGACGTGGGTACTTTGCGGAAGCACGTGGGCTGGGTCGACTGCATGGGTATGGGGGGAGAGGTGAAGAAAGAACCGGCTAAGGAAGCGAATGACGCCCCAGCCTCTTCGCGACCTTTCCCGATTGTCTCTCCCGTCCCCGCCGCCTGCATGTATCCCCCAGGTCGTCACACGTCACTGGTGTGAATGCACACAGCTTGTCCCGTCGCATTGGAAGCTGAGTGGTTGGCGCCGAACCGCCAGGGCTCCTGTCCAGCAGAGAGGCTGGGACCGGCCAGCTGCAAAAGCTTGCCTTGGCCATACGGCCTCTCTCGTCCTGCCCGAGGGCGTGCCCAACAATGCATCTTGCATCTTGCATGCTTCTGCTTCGTTCAATTCACCGGCCCCGCTGCAAATCCTCGCAGCTGACCCCGACGGCAACTGCACACTGACATCGCCCTCACAGCTTCACCGCCCGCGACACTATTGCTATTGCTACTACTACTACTACTCCTCCAAACAAGATGCTCGCCCTTCGTTGACATGGCCACTCTTTCTCCTGGTGCGTGTGGTGCGGTGGGCATTAGAGCTGTTGGACTATACACACATAGCATAACCTGCTAACCTGGTCGCATCTATAGACGTACGCGATTCTACTCTCAAGTCGCTCAAACTGACCTGCCCCTCCGCCGAGGTCATTCACCCTCCATCCTCCCAATCCAAATCTTCCTCCGACATGCCTCCCACCGAACAGCAGGGCTATCCCTTCCCAGAAGTAGGCGACGAGTGGTCTGACGAGGAAGTCCTAATCCCCAGGCAAAGACGAAAGACGCAGTACATACCACCATTGATGTTTGAAAAGATCACAGCCACCTCAGCAGAATCATCTTCAGAAGATTCAAGCACGCCATCGCCCCGCCCCCAGCGATCTGGCGGAAAAGTCAGCCCGAATGTGCCGCTCAAGAGCCCGTCACGCCAGAGCGCATCGCGAGGGAACAGCCAAGATGAGCTTGTCCAGCGCTTCTACCAGCTTACAAAAGAGCGTGATGCGCTGAGGAAGGAGCTGCAGCGGAAGAGCATGGGTGCCAATGGCACCTCGACCAGAGGCTCCAAGCTGTACAGGACAGAAGAGGATACACTGATAGAGGAGCTCTTTGCTCTACGCCACGAGATACGCAACTGGAGTGAAGAGTACTTTAGCGGCCCCATCAGGACCTCGAACAAGCGACCCTATCTTACCAGAGCGAGAGAGCTCTTTGGGAACCTTACCGACAACTACCACGTCTACCTCAAGGACCCTGAAGATCGGCCTCTTCTCATACAAGCATATGTATGGATGCGATTACAACAAAAGATTTTCAACAATTGGCAAAAAGGGAGTGGATACGTCTGGGCAGGAAAATTGGGCGACAAGAAATTACGAGATATTAATGATACGCTACGAAAGGGTATGGTCTCTTATCTTGCTCATTCGACATGCGACACTAACAGATGCACAGCCGTCAAGAACGAAGCCGAAGCCGAAGAGTACCACCGATGGCGCTCGCTGACCGTGAACCTTCTTGTCCCACAAGTCGACGGCAAATGGCGCCCTACCTTTGACGCAACACCCGTGCTAAAACAAATATCCCGCTTCTGCAGTCGCATGCGCCACAAGCTACGCCCGTGGGCTACCCGCTCCCTGAGCGCAGGCAAGGAGCAACTAGGAACAATTGTCTCGGCCTCCGTAGCCCTCGATCTCAAAATGAAGCGTCAGCGCGCCGACTACCGCTTCGTCACTTTTACCGGCGGCAAGAAAGACCAGTACTGGGGTTACGGCTACTACGACAGCGAAATGGAAGACGTCTACGACGATGACTCGGACGACATGGGCGGCGGCTACGGCAGCAGTGATAATCCCCGAGGCCGAAGAGTAGAGCTGGCTCTTGCGCCTGCGCTTGAGAGATGCGGGAATGCTAACGGTCATGTTTTCGATCAGAGTTTTATGATGGTCAAGGCAGATGTTAGTTGTAAGAGATTGGAAAAGCGGAAGAAGCCGCAGCCTAGACCGAGAGGGGGCGGTGGCGGCAGTGTAGTAGGCGGAAGGGGTGCTAATAACCGCTTCAGTGGGTTTTGGGGTCGGTGACCTTACTCTTTTTTCCTTCTTCATTTTTTTCCTTTGCCCTTTCGCATCTTCTAAAACTGGTCAAGACCTGGTCGCCAGTTCTTACTTGCATCTGACATGTTGGCTTTTGCCCGCCCCCCCCCTTTGATCTGCATATTCGAGCCCTCTCTTGTGCATTTGCAGTATTATACCCTCGACCCTCTTCTCCATACCTGTTTGTCTCGGTTTAGCCCTGCATCCTAATGCCATTTACGAATCATATGTAGTCTTTGTAAAAGATGGTTCCTTACTTAGTCAATTGATTTGTATTCATATATAAGCATGTTCATTAAGACATTGAGAAGAAATGTGTTTGAGTGATGGGGATGCCATTAGCAAATAAACCGTTAGATTCAAAGGAAATATTATTACATCTACATTCGTACACCACGTCCTCAACTAACCAAACAAATATTCTACTCCTCGTCAGGCACAACATGCACTTCCCACTTTGCCCCATGCGGCCCCTTAACCGTCTCCCTCGTCGCATCCTCCAAAAACGGGCCCTTCGCATTCGTCACCGCACTCTCCAGCACTCCCGCCTTCTTACCCGTACGCAAGTACTCGAGAAAAGCCACAGAAGCATCGATATACTCGTGCAGCGCCGTCCTACTATCAAGCGTAGTCCCAGATACCAGCTTCATAATCAGCGGCACAATGAGCGGGGCATCGGTGCAAGAGGGATGTGCAGTGCCGCTTAACGTCATGAACCAACCTTGCTTGATGCTATCGACAATATTCTTGACTACGTTAAAGTGCCAGCCTTGATCGTAAAAGTGAGTTTGCTGTTCGGTCCACTCGCCGCTTTGCATGACGAGGAGGGGCACGTCGATGTCTTTGTTGAGGGGGCCGGAGCCTTTGCCTGGGTCGAGGGCGATGCCGCCGTTGATGGGCATGGCTTTTGTGCCTGCGGATTTGAGGGCTTGCATGGCGCCTGTTGCGCCGTACGAGTGACCGCCGACTGTGACGGCGGAGAGGTTTAGTCGGTTTTTGAAGCCTGGGAGGGCGTTGCGGGGGGAGTCGGGTTTGAGGTTTACGACTGGGGCTTCGCCTGCGTTGAGTTTTGCGAAGAGCTTGATTGTCTCGCTGATTTCTGCCTCGCGGTAGTTGAGTTGGGCGGCTTTGAGATCAAGCTCAGTCATGGGTGGGTTGGCTTCTAGGTCCTCGAGTTTCATGTGCCATACTTTTTCTTCTTTTCCATCGGGATGATGGATGATTGTGCCGGGACCGCTGCCATCGCGGTGTTCAACAGCAGCAACAACGTATCCGTGACTTGCGATACTGCCAAGGTAGTGCGCATAACTCTGGCTCATACCGGCCATGCCGTGCGTAAATACCATACAAGGCAAAGCATCAAGCTTACCGTCACGCTTCAACTCCTGATGCTCTTGCTCGGCAGCACTCATCATCTTTTCAAATTCAGCAGCACTATTGCTCTTCGTTCCCAGAACATACTGGGCACTTGACAAGATGGGTGCATCAACTACACCCGGGATGACCGTACTAGATCCAAACAGCCATAGTGCAGATGTGAAAACTGAAGAAAGCCTGGGAACCCCCGCAAGCCGCGCGTAGCCCTCGCCAATAAGTCCTACAGGCTGCGGAAGCCAAGGCCGAGCCCAGGGTCGCTGAGAAGGTGGCGCTCGAGGCAATGAAGAAGGGTAGTATAAGGTGATGGCTAGCGTATCCAGTTCAAAGGCCTTGTCGCCCGTAGCCTTGAGGATCGCATCATGAATGACTCTTTTCTCAACTGGGGTCTCGATATCCAATATTCCCACCTCGTAGGGACCAGTATATGGTGGGAGCGGTGATATAATAGGTGTTAGGAGGAAGATGAATGTAACAAACAGGAAGCCCGCGGATGTGAGCACGAGCAGTTTTCGCAGCCCGAGGCGGCCTATCCGGAAGACCATAGTTGATGGGTTTTTGGTGTCGATTTCTGCTCTAGATCTCGGGATGGGTAGAGCTAATGCCTGGCCTTTTGAAAGGAATGGCATGAGGTGGTTGGCAGTGGAGGTGGCAAATGATACGGATGACGTCGTCCGCCAACGGAGATAAGCACTCGGCTCGTCCGGCGCTGGTTAGGCATGGCAGATCGTCCAACCACGTTTGTGTATTCGCTGACAGTGGGTTTGTGTGTTGATCACACTCGAGACGACCCTATATTATTACATTTCCCCTCTACCGTCCTAGAAATTGGTCGACCTTCAAAAATACACTTCGTACGGATATGTGAATGCGCTTCCCTATATACTGAGCATACGAGTGGCTAGGCGTTTATCAGAACAACGGTTGCGGAACCTAATATCAAATGTCCATTTAGCAAGAGACAAAACAAATAGAAACAATGGGCAAGGCCGAAAGCTGCTTCTGCATTGACCCATGGATTGAGTTGTAATGTCTTCACTTCGCGGCTGGCAACGATGCCAAGGTTGCCTTCAGAACCTGAAATTCTGACTCATCACATCTACGCATACATTCTGTCACATCACCTTAACACCATACACTCTGTAGTGCGCTTAATATTCAGAATCTCTTCCAGAAGTACTCCAGTATAAAAGAACCTCAAATATGGCACCTCAGCTCAAAACGCCCAAAGGCACTCGAGACTGGCATGGAGAAGACATCGCTCTGCGCAACCACACCTTTGACCAGATTCGCAAGGTGTTCCGGCTTCACGGCGGCGAAGAGATAGATACACCAGCATTTGAACTGAAGACTTACTTGACTGGAAAATATGGAGAGGATACCAAATTGATCTATGACTTGCAAGATCAAGGTGGTGAGATCTGTGCCCTGCGCTACGACTTGACTGTGCCGTTCGCTCGCTGGCTTGGTATGAACAACATCCGAACCATCAAGCGATTCCAAATCGGCAAGGTCTATCGTAGGGACCAGCCAGCATTGAAGCAGGGCCGTATGCGCGAGTTCTTCCAATGCGACTTTGACTACGCCGGCCAATGCGACTTGATGGTACCAGACTCAGAGGTCATTTGTATTGCAGCTGAGGTCTTCGAGGCCCTTGGGCTGCCTATTGTGATCAGGCTCAACCACCGCCTCATTTTGAATGGCATGTTCACAGCTGTGGGTGTCCCTGAAGCTTTGGTGCGGCCTATCAGCTCGGCAGTCGACAAGCTCGATAAGTTACCTTGGGGAGAAGTCAAGAAAGAGATGGAAGAGAAAGGACTGGATGCTGGTCTCGCTGATAAATTAGCTGAATACGTGCTGCGCGATACAGCATCAGATGTCACCTCAACTTTGGCGTTCCTCAAATCAGATGCGCTCTTGTCGACAAACAAGGACGTACAACAAGGTGTGAAAGAGATGGAGTTGCTCATCCAATACCTCATAGCATACGACGTTACCAAATACATTCAATTCGACCTATCGCTTGCTCGAGGATTGGATTATTACACTGGCCTGATATACGAGATTGTCGTGCAAAATCAGTCAGACACTTCGGTTGGCAGCATTGCTGCCGGGGGCCGGTATGACAATCTTGCAGGTATGTTCAGCAGCCGTGACGTCCCATGCGTGGGAATATCGTTTGGCATTGATCGGATCCTTGCTATACTCAAAGGCCTAAAGCAGAATGCTGGGAGGGCTCAAAAAGGCAAAGTTGATGTCTGGATCGTCATTGCATCTGACAGCGCTGGACTGGTCGCACAACGCATGGCTATTGCGCGGGATCTTCGTTCTTCAGGCATCAGCGTTGACTTTGACCCAAAAGCTGACAAGAAGCCACGGAAGCAAATGGATGTTGCGGAAAAGAGTGCTGCCGTTGTAGTATTCTTGGAAGAAGATGATACAATGCCTGGCCACGCGCGAGTCAAGATACTCTCACTTCCAGCCAAGAATTTCGACTACGCACCCACTATAGAACGCCAAAACCTCGTTGATGAAGCAAAGCGGCGTCTCGAAAAACAGCCTGAATAGCCAAACTTGAAGAGTACAAACACAAAGCTTCATTTCATCTTCTGCCTGTTTCGGCCATTCAGCCTACTGCTCCCCCCTCTTTTACAACGGAATCCCGGCATTTTCCCGTATACGAATCCATCACACTTCTACACACCGATCATATTCCTTCACATCCGTATTCCCACATACGCACACCGCCACAGATCCAAGCGCACACGCGCGCGCGGGCTCGCCGATGCGCCCAAATCCCAGGATCATACTCGCTTCACAGCCAAGGACCCATCCCTCATCTACCCACATTTTCTACCAGCCAGTCGATCCCGGACAGCAGGATCCGGATAAAAAAAGAGGAAAGTATTGATCGACCCACACGTCAGCAAGCAAGCACTTAGCACCTGACAATATACAATTCCCGCCGGACCCCTCGCCTATAGCACGCGTGCTATAAGGGACACTGTTCCCCAACGACGGCATGACACGTGAGCGTACTGGGATCTCATAGCTCTGACTCCTCTGCCCTACTTTTTTGTTTACCGGGACGATCCTCTCGCTTCGGGTTGTCGCCCGGCTCGGATCTCTGCGCTTCTTTTTTTACTCGATCAATTTCTTTCCTAAATAGTACCTCCGATGTAGTCATTGCCGACATCCCCACTTTGCGCATGAGCATTACGTTGGAATAGCACCGCAGGTGGATACAACACAATGACACGGCGATTAAAGAAGCTCAAGGCGAATAAGACTACAAAGCTAGTTAACATGACAATCGTCGCCTTTACTCGCCTACGCAAAAATACGCCGGCACCACCCGTGCGCCCAGCTACTCAGCACCGTACCGGCTGTGGGAAAATATCCTATTCAGGCCTCTTCTCCATTCGTACCACCTTCTCTCTCCCTTCTGTTCCAACCTCCACTTCCATATCACCTCAACATTATCCTCACCACCACCTTGGCGCTAGCCCCACATCCCCCTTCCCCCTCCCAGCCCAATCCCACCACATTCCTATTCCTAACTCCCCAATCCACCCTCCACCCACACCACCCCTCGCACCCCTCTGCCCTAGAAAACTTCAATAACCACCCAACTTACCATCGCAAAAAGCCCGACGAATCACGGACCATGCATGCCTGCTACACTAAAGTACTCACTCGGTTCTTAAGTTACCTACAAGCATAACCCTTGGCACCCAACATCCAGGGAACACCCCTCAACCATTTTTACCTTTATCTGCGCATTAACAAGAAAAATTTCGACCAGCCATCCCTCTTTCCCCCCCTTACCCAGCCGAACAAAACATAGAAAATCGAGGTAGGGTTCATGCATCACCCCCTCGCCCCCCTTGTTCCGCAGAATTAGTCCGCTGTCAAAACTCCCAGTCCAAGGGAAGAAGGGGGGGGGAAGCCATAAACAAACGAGCAGTTCACCCAGATGTTCCCACGTACTTAGTAGTTAGCTCTGGTGGCACCTTGGTATTTCCACCACAGGGTTATCCCTGATCTCGCACCTAGTTTACAAAATGCCCTTCAATCTATTCATTTCTATTGATTTTCGATTCGTGCGTGATATCATATCATATCATAACTACGTACTATCTGTTTCCCCTCCAACGCTGCCTGCCTATCCTTACTATGAAACAAAAGGCAGGCGCCAAAAATAGCTGTCAGGATGCGTAGTTTTAAAAAGTTTGTGTTGCGCAGACTGGATTTTAGACGGCGGCAGTTGGGGGGCTGTTATTGTACATAGTCAGGACGTGCGCGGACGGTAAATCTAGTACTATGGTATGTCCGATGTAAACAAGTTGCCTTTGTTTGTGTGTCATTTGGGGGGGGGGAGGGAAAAGGGTGGATACGTAGTGTGTGAATCCGCCTCGCGACTTACTATTCTGCTAAGTAGTAAAGAGACGTTGGTCTAAAGCCCGGTAGTAGTAGTACGTAGCGCAGTCTGTCTGTTTTGCTTGTTTTGCCCTTGTTTACTCAGGAAAACGGCGATCTAAGATAGAGTTCTCACCGGCTAGTAACGAGTTTCACGCGACAGCCTGATGTCATCAAATGGCACGTATATCCAAGTAGGTGTTGAAACAGTGGCGCAAACAAGAAGGGATATTTGTAACAGGCTGAGTAGCAGCAATTCACGTCGCGAGGTGCACATGCAAGTCAATCTGGAGATCCATCTCAAATGTTCGAGGCAATCAACAAAGCTTGTTTACTGGTGGTTAATCAGTGTAATGGTTTGATTTTTGGTTTAAAGTGATGCAATATAATTTGCGACGTAGCGTCGCAATCTGTCCCCGAACGAGAAAGGTCGATTCATCGACCCTCGTCCTGAACACGAATAATGATTATCTCCCGGTGCCTCTAATATAAACAAAACATCTTGCCGTAGACAAAAGAAAGGGAAGGATGAGGTTGAGGTTCCGAGCTTTGACAAAACAGATCTATGGGACAGCGCGAAGAAATGAAGTGGGATGCGCCGACACAATGCACTCAGAATGAGCCGATGGAAATAAGACAAAAAAGGAAATGTCCAAGTGTACTGGAGGAGATGACTGATGGTGAAAAAAAACGCCCAACCCTTGTGATCTTCCGATGATAAATGTGCCAGTAGATCGTGAGAGAAGGAAACAACGTAAGTCGTAAATATATACACAGAATGTATGGGGGTTGTCGTAGCTGCTTAGTATAAATGCAGCTAGTTCTACCGCATGAGCCTCCTGGGCTGTAGAGTAGATAAAATGCAATGTAGTAAATACATTCGAGCAAATTTTTATACTGGTCGTGGTGGTTGGGGGAAAAGCCTGAGCATAGGCGAGCGGGGTTGGGATGTAGTCGCTGCACGGCTTCGTGGTTTAGTTGGTTTTTCTTCGACATTAGAGGCAGTGGCGAGAAGTTTGGCTGCGCCATCAGAGAGGACTGATTTGTGTGTGCGTGCCGATGTGCGCATGGAGCGTTTTGAGTCCTGACGAGCAACGTCGAGTGATGCCTCCAGCTCTTCGTCGGCAGTTAAGTGGTTGGCACGCTGCGAGCCACGGCGGGCGAGGTCCAGGGACGTCTTGACGTCTGTCTCGATGCGGCTCGAGGATCGTTTCTCGTCCTGTGGCGCTTCATCGTCTGAAGCGAAAAAAGTGCGTCCTTCAAAGGCATGTCCTGGCGGGGTGATATCATCGTCCTCGTTGTCTTCACGCAGGGATGCAATCTGATCAGAGAGTTGATCTCCAATCAGACTAACACCGAGTTCTTTTCGGTTACGGCGAGAAGGCACCAGCTCGGGTACACTTCCTGCGGAGCTTGCTGAGCGCCGAACGGGTGAGCTCCAGAGACCAGAGCCTTGAATGGAAGACATCAAGCTGCTATCATACGAACTTCGCCTACTGAGCCGGACGTGACTGCTGCGCGCGGAACTGGTGGTGCTCCGGCCATTGTCAAGCATTGGAAAGTGACGGTCTGATCCAGCATACTCGTCCAGGAGATCCTCATAGGTAACATCCCGGGTATCCTTATACTCCTGGGGCACCAACAGAGATGGACTGAGGATGAAACCCGTCTCGTGGCCGTAGTGATTGGCGCTATAGAGATCAGATGGCGTGGTAGGTAGTCCCGTGCTGAGTGTGGAGGTAGATATCGCAGAAGTAGGATCAAGTTCCGGTATACTGTTTGTGCTAGGGACGAGCAGAGAAGAGCGGAAATTGACGGGCAGACGGTTCTCGCGATCGACAGGAATTACTCGAGATTCGCGGTGGTTGTGTGCGTATGCAATAGCTGGGACTTGTGCGTCGTCGGCGCCATGGTCAGATGCACGATCCCACTCCAAATCGCATTCAGCTTCCAGTGCATTGTCATAGATGTAGTCGACGTCTTCTTCCCATGACTCCTCAATTGCGCGCCACGTGTTGGATTGACGGCGGTGAGAAGGCCTTCGAACGGACCTTCTGCGGGCGAAGTTAGAAGAGCCCAATGTGTCAGACTGCTGTGATGAGGATCGCGAATGAGATGGCTCTGCTCTCGGCGAGACATCGAATTGGGCTCGAGGGTTCGTCCTGTTGCTTGGGGGCGACTGTTGGTTCTGGAAGGAGAATGATCCGAAATACGACGATTTTGGCGAGCTTGGTGTTCTCAGAGGTGGTTGCGGTGCAGGTCTTGGGCTAACAAAGCGCTCTGGTTCCTCAGCAACGTCGGCAAGACTAGGGCTAAATGGGGGCGTGGCCGCATGGATGGCAGAATCGTCGGGTGTTGTCAAAGCATGGCCAAAATAGGATGTGTCTTCCTCAATCTCTGGAAGAGGATCTGGAGTGGTTCCAGCAGACAGTGAGAAAGAGTCCCAGATACCAGACTCTCGCTTGTGTCGAGACAGTCTGCGCGCAGCGGACATCTTATCTTCAGAGGCGGGGTCTAGGGGGATGCGGGTTGTTGGCACAGGCGGCGTCGTGAGACTGTATTTGCGGGGGCTGACGCCAGGCTGGGAGAAGCTTTCTATCGACCTGGCTAGTCGGAGTGGCCGTCGCGAGTTTGAGAACTGGGGAGCATTGTCAGCAGCAAAGGTTGCTTGAGGGCTACCAGGCGATGAGCCGACGCTCAATGTCACTGATGATCTGTTTTCGGCTGCATGGAGGTTTTCCGAAGAGAAGTTGCTGAAGTAGGAATCGTTGGTTGGCGTAGAGCTTTGCTGATAGGGTTGCGAGGTTCGTCCTGGAAAAGATCCGGGACCTAGTTTTTCATTGGCAGTATGCTCAAGAGCGGCGAACTGGTGTCGGTCGGTATGTGAGAGATGTTGAAAGTCAAACGGACTGGAGATGCGGCTGATCAGGCTTCCTGCAATAAAGGTAAGAGGTTGAAGAGCCGACGCGACGATAGCACATCACTTACCACTGTCTTCGGGTTGATTGCCGCTTCGTCTGGCTTTTCGTAGAAGTGACGTTCGCCTTTCACTGGCATCTCCCTCATAATCATCACCACCAACAATTCCAGTTTCGCTTAGTCTTTTTCCTTTCTTGCCTCGAAACAATGATCTTCTCGATCCAGTAGAAGGGTGGGCCTTGGAATGTCCTGATTGTGAGTCATGCCACGAGGCATCATGGTCAGCCATGTCGTGTTGGGACAGTAGCGAGGGTGTGAGGGAGGTTGCAGTGTTGCTCCTCGATCTCAGGTTGAAGACGGAGCTTCGCCTGGCGGGATTGAATCTGTGTAGTTGTTCGGGTGAGTGGGCACCACCATGGGAGGAAGGTGTGGGACGGTGGTCTTGCCAAGAGTCCGGAGCAAAGGTAGAGGGGTATGTTCCAGTTGCCTGTGAGTCGATTGATGACTGTCGAGACCGTGAGACATCGCTCTTATGGAACGAAAACATGTCTTGCAAGTTCAGTGGTAGCGCAGAAAGATTCCAGACAAGGTCGTCAATGCAAGTTGGACTGTGCGCGTCTCGACTGGTGGCCGACAAGAGATGTTTAATCCCACAACCATTGAGGTTACAGGAAAGATGCAAGAGCGTGGCCTATCGCAGACGACCAAGGATTGAGCAGGTGGTTAATACGGCTCCAAGACGCGTCAGTGGTCTATGCGCAGGTATTATGGGACCACTGGAGCACGAGGCGTTAGAAGTGGACGAGGGGATAAAGGCTTAGGTGATGCGAAAGGACTAACCTGGGCCAAGGCTTGGAATACTAGCGGGGCAAACGAGGATAGAGCAGAAGTCGAGATGCAATAAGAGCCAAAGTAATATATGCAGACCTAGCAAGGAAGAGTGGGCTCGTTTGCTAAGGATGGAGACGGCAATGCAAAAGTGCGTTCACGGACCACTGTGGCTCGGGAAGAAGGCTGATGAAAGGGCTCTGCCTCTGTGTGGTAACTGACGAGGATGTGGCCGGGGACTGTGGGTGTTGCAAGAGCTGGCGGAAGGCACAGACCCACGTGAGACAGACGGTGGTATGGGATCCAAGACGTTTAGGTGTAGTGAAGCGGGTAAGGAACGTGGTGTGTGATGGTGGTGGTGGAGATGGAGATGGGCAGCGGGGGACATTATCTGGAGTGTTCCATCTTGTGCCACGGGAGCAGGTGGAGGATTTGAGGCCGGCGAGGTTGGAGAGCGAGTAGGGATGATCTCACTATGTAGGTACATGGCAGCTTGGTCGAGCGGCGGAGAGCATGTGGAGAAGGATGAAAGGTGCACAGTGCGCATCGACCATGTTAGTGGCATCCAAGGAGTGCAGGGACATGGGTATCTGCCGCTGAGCGACAACGTCTGGGCGTGTGTTAGTGGCTGGGGAGAGCGGAAACAGGGGCATCGTTGACGGGGGAGGCCCGGCGTCGCATGCTGGCCTACTGGGCCTCAGCACACACAAGAAAGCGGCCCGACAGGTCGGCCTAAGCAATATAACGTCGCAGGGGCCCGGGAGGGCGAAGCTGATTGGGCGTGGCAGCGAAATAAACGGTTAAATCTGCTGCGTTACTGCTCTGGCCAGCGCTAGGCCCGGTGCGCCAGAAAGGAAGTGAGGTCCAATTTGCTTACGAGCCGGACGCATGCTGTTGTGCAACCGAGGAGGATCCGACCATGCCTGCTGCCGCGACCAGAAGACGAGGGCACGGTGCGACTCGGGCGAGAGGCTGGACCAGCTTGCTGAGGTTGCTGCTGACATACATGGCGGGCGAGGCGGGTCGCGTTATGACGACGTTGGCGTTGTTTTTGTTGATGTTGTTGTTGTGGTGGGTGTCGCGATAAGTGAGGATGGTGTGTGTGGAGATGACTAAGCTAGGCCCAACGCGTAAATTGCCCTGTACGATACGCTGGCGGGGAGGGGATTTGTGCTCTTAGTGCCGAACACTTGCCGGCCTCGCTTTTTTTTTCAGGCGGACACGGCGCATTGTGCTCGGAGTCGGCCTAGTATGCACTTTTGAATGTATCTACTAACTATGTACATGTGTGTTGATACATAATAGTCGAGGAGCAAACGGCAGGAGTATGCACCAAAAACGTCGGTTGGCGGCCTCGCCTGGGATGCGAGAGCGTGTATGTGCACTCAAGACGACACAGCATGTCACCATGGCGGTGCCGGTGATCAGGTCAAGAGATCTGTTTAAAGGGGATCGTGACAGGCATCGGATCAGGCAAGACAGGCTATCACTGGCCGCGCGGGCATAGGCCAACAAGTCATCACGGTCCTGTCTGCAGATCTTCCTACGCCTGGGACCAAGGTGAAACAGCCGAAGAGAGCCCTGCCGGAATGCCGTGACCGTCGACGACTTGACACGACACGACACCAGACGATACGACCCTCGAATACCCCGCCTCACCCAAGGCCTTTACACGTCTCATCAACGGCGACAGGGCATGGCAGCACCTCGTCCGAGTCGTCATCGCCGTCGTCGTTGTCGGAAAAAGGGCTGCGACAGTCTGGGCCGTCATCCGCGCCTGGGCTGCTGTACCGTACCCTGGAACAACTGTTATCTGCGTAACTATGTACGTAGTCGTCTACTGTACATGGCACACAAACGTACATACACGTACATACATAGTTGCCCAGCGTGGTGGACACAACAAGCCCCTGGTCATGTGCCTCTGCTGCGAATGCGAGCGTGGGCGTGGGGAGAACGAGTCGTTCTGGCGTGCACAAGACACTACATAGCACCGTCGCACCCTCGGCCACCAATCTCAGCTGCATGTGCGCGCAACCAGCACACCGACAAATTCTCCATAGCGCCGCGCCATGGTGCCCCCAGGCGCCGTGCTTGCACATGGGCATCAGCGATACTTTCTTCCTCTGGGCAGCAGCATGTCATGGACACAGTTATTTACATACATTGCGTCGCTGCAAGGAATTCGCCGCACACCAAGCATGCCCAGCGCTGGCCTGTTGTTCCTGCACATGGGCAGTGAAGGTTCCGTCACGTGCCCTTGCCAACTGCCGGCACGCGCTGCCCACGTGCAAGGGCAATCCCTGATTGGCGCAAACGGGCTTGGCGTAGACAGCACTTTACTTCCTTGGTACCTACTTCCCTTGTAAGTACACCCAGCACAGTACGCAACCTCTCGACTGCGTGTGCTGGCCTGCGGATGCGCTTATCACCACGCCCGTCCGTCTCTCCCTCTTCCCCCTCCCCCCAGCTCCTGGACTGGACCCACAAGGCAGGCACAGACCCAGAGTCTTACGGCCGTCGTTGCGTAAGAGTTCTCCTCCCTCCTCCCCTGCGACTTGGGACCTGCAGTTGTTGTACTCCCCCACCACATCGCCGGCGTCTGCGCCATGCCTCCACCTTTGCGCAACTTCAACTTAGCGGGATCCACGTCTTACGCACGCCTCCTGCGCCTCCATCCTTCCACCCACCCATCCATCCATCCATCTACGGGAGGTTTATTTCGGACATCTTGACGTTGGTTATATGGCGCTTGCGCCAGCCCTAAACTGCCTAGTATCGAGAACCTCTCTACTGTGCCGTCTGCAGTCTGCACTTCCCGAGACTACCTTCACCGGAGGTATCGCCTGCCGTGCCAACTGTGCGCACGTGCTAGTATGCCCACCCGCCGTAAACACACCCAACAACCGTCCGTCTCTGACAATGTGTTTCGTTGTGCCCCAGTAGCACCCGCTCATCTCCACTTGACTTGCCGACAATATAGTATATTTTTGCGTATGCCTATCGGAAGACGCTGAGCAACCAAACGAATGCCGTGAGCTGCAGGGCCATGCTGCTGGGCAAGTCCAACAAGCGCAAACTTCTCCCGGCTTGCTTTCTCTGCGCTTTGCTGATCCCTCTTTTCTCAACCGTGGCCCCCAAATGCTGGAACCCTGTATCTGTACCTGCATTCTGCGCTAGCCCTTCTTGTCAAACTGCAAAAGGTGAGCCCTAACTCCCATACCCCCACCCGGACTCAGGCCGCTGATCCTAGCATTGTGCAACCTCAATCGAATAGCGCACTGTGTTCGTGCTAGTAATAGCAAAGAGCCTGTTCCGTGCCTTTCAAACATGTTTTACCATAGGTAAGCCGACACGAGCCCGGCAAAGACTAGCCCGCACATCCGATCTAAGACATCCACGCAATCATGCTACGATACAAGGCACCCCAAAGGTTTGATGCGACAACGAGAGTGCTGGTTTCACGGTGCAAGCATCTCTATACTGTCCGTCTGACCGGGTTTACTCGTGTGTTTCGTGAAACAGCACCGCCCGAGGTTGAACAATGTCCAAGCAGCGGTTCTGCATTTTCATTGGTAGTAAATTATCGAATCGACAAAAGCCCATGCTTTTGCAAGGACCAAGCAGAGCCTATTAGCTTTGTCTTCTGCTGGTCAGGTACGAGGTCGGTTGCCGAATTGAGATGCTCGCACTCAAGTTCGCTTGTAACCTTCGTTCCTTTTCCCCAACGAAAAGAAACAAACATACTAATCCACCTGGTGTTTCGAGCAGGACCCGCCCACTATGTTTGGCATCCGCGGATATCGCATCTGGAACCCAATTTGCTATGGGCACGACGAGTTTTATCGAAAGCAAATCTTCTTCTTATTGAATCAGAACGTTTCCTCCCGCTTCAGGTAAAGAGTAATGAGTAAGCTATGTATCGGAGACCGTTATGGTTTGTCGTTAAACGTCGTTGCAAGAAAGTTTCGCTTACAATAGACCAACGAGCTACACGCGAACCTTGAACTGCTTGGATTCAGGGTCGAGATAGCCGGATTAGCATGCCGAAGTAAACTCAAACCGAACAAGACCTCGCGCTAGCACTTCTGACACGCAAGTGCGAAATGTGAATTCTACTTACTGTACCTATAACTACCGACTGTGAACATGTCAGGCACGAAACTCTGACTACAAACTGCGCCGCGAAGCTTAACTCAGCGTTTTGTTTTTAGCTTTCAGGCTGCAGTCCAACGCTGCTGTGAGATGTTGGGCAGGGTACTCGACTTCTCGCAACATGGATAACCCTTCATCCGGCGGTATGTCGTATGACGGAGTTTTCCATTGATGCATCTTGGGCAACGATTACAAAACACGTGCAGTATGTATACTATACGCGATTAGCAGCTCATCTCACAGCAGTGAACCGATTTCACGATTGCCGCCGACTGTCCCGTTTGTATCAGAACATCACATTCAAGGGCACGTTGAAAGTGCTTGTTTTCTCTGCCGGCGCATGCAATCAACTCCCGCCAAATGATGACGGGGCCGAGCGCAGACGACAAGAGGTAGCGGTCAGTGCGTCCCCACAAACCCCAGCTCTATGGGGCGTTGGCACAGTTCAATAAAGATATATGTATGTAAGATATGTGGGCACTCAACCTATCAGAGCCGCAATTGCTCGCTGCTTAGGCTGAAGAGTAAGACGGACCAACCTTAATCTCTCCCGCCTTGTCGTCCAACGCCCCATCTCAGCTCAGCGCTCCTCAAAGAGATTGGGCTACACATGGGGGTAGGAAGCCACACACGGTCCGTAAAGGCAGGGGTTGCGATCCTTTTAGACCGGCGATCCAGAGCCACACACACACACACACATGTACGCCGCACCACCAACAGCTATGAGCCGTGCCGCATCCAGCATGAACTGCACGCCTAACAACTGTCGCGAGATCGAAGGAGCGCGGCGCGGCGTTGAGATGCGAATTGGTGGGTAGTGCCCCGTGATGCCAAAAATCCTTCTCGGCTCCTCCCTTCAAACGGGCAGGTGTCCGCCTGAGAGACTCTCCTCATTGCCAAATTTTTTCTCCTCTTCGTCTCTCTTTTTCTACTTACGACGACCCCACGCAGAACAAGAACAGTCGCCGCTCAATCCATCACGCGCTTACCTTCTTTTCTTTTAGCCTCCACACAAGGCATTAATTAGTCCCGTAGCAACATCCATAAGGCCGCGTCGGTATTAATCCGTGGACCCCCCCATACGCTACGCTCTTCAAGTATACACGCCCCAAAAGCAGTTTAGCCGCCCCTTTTTTTCTTCCCTCATCTCCCCTTCCTTCTTCCCTCTCTATTTGCAAGGAAGTAGCCGTGCGCCACACCAACTATGTGCGCATACTGCATGCATACACGGGCGCGTTGCGGTTATTACCGAAGATTGATTCATTGATGATGACACTGTGGGCGAGAAAGTGAGCAAGCGACAGCCCTCATTTTTTTTTAACCCTTTCCCAAGCACCAGGATCATGGTCAGATTATCCAATGCCTCTCGTGAGCGCGCTCGGGGTGTGGCATGGTGGACCGGCTATGTACCAATCACATTTACCCCCGTTATGTATACACCCCGGGCTGCTGCAGGATATTATAGATAGTGTGAGAGGGCGTCGTCTGTGCCAAGCTTGAGGTTGCGTCAGCGGAGTAATTGTTAGATGGTTTTTGGTGCTAAATACGTTATATGGTTGGGGGTGGTTGATGCGGAATTAGAGGCGCGCGCCGGGGTGTAGGTAAGTATTCAATGCCTCGAGACCCAGGTAGTAGAGGGGTCCAACGAAGAAAAAAAAGCGAGCGAGGTAGTTGAAAAAAAAGGAAAATTAATCAACGTCCGCGGCGGGATCTGCGTGGTTGCTGTTGTTGTTTTTTTCTTCCCGGTACGGAGGTGCCTCACAAAAGTTCTGTCCCGCCAAGAATAATCTATCCGATGTACGGCCGCCTTAGCCGAGGCTTGTCTCTCCCCTCTATGTACTCGTTACCACCTTGTAGCTCAATTATCTTTTGAATATGCACAAGAATTCGCTCAATCC